TAATGTACAGGGTCTTGACAAACTTTTTATTATAGCATGCATATTTAAATATCTCAAAAACCAAAGCAGTTAAACATATTAAACCCTTATAATAAATGACTTGTTTTATGCCCAAGAATCCAAAAATTAAATAAAATACGTGTTCCATAAGAGAAAATATAACTTTGGTATGGATCTAAGTTCTGACACACCCTGTACATTTGAAAATAATTTTAAATTATGCACATTGACTCTGTACATATACCCATAAAAAATTTGGTTTCTACATCTTTCCATTTTCGTATAATCAACCGAGGCTAATGTATATTTATTTATATATTATAAATTTTTAATGATAATTTTTATTCCATATATCTTGTGGTGTAAACTGAATTTACTACAGTTGATTAACTAATGTATTAATATTTTACTTTTTTCTTTTAATTTATGTAAAAATAATATTGACTGAAGTTTATATGCAGCCTACTAATGTAAATAAATATTTTTCTAATTATATTTAGGTATACTTTTCTAGCAAATATTTTGATATAAGCTTTATTATAAATTTTTATTCAAAAAGTGTTTGTTTTTTGTTTCCTTTAAGTTCTAAATTGAAGGAATTTATATAAAATTGTAGTTTTTATTCTTCATTTTTCATGTATGTATATAAATTATAAAAAAACGCATTCACCACAATAATTTAATTTATTACAGTTATTTATTATTTTATTACATTACATACAATAGGTTAATATTGATGAATTTTATAAACTGCTTTTCTAAGTATATTTAAGCATATTTTTTTTTAGCAAAATTTGATGAATAGGTAATATAAAATTTTAATGATAATTACATTTCTGCATAAATATTGTAGTGAAAAACTGAATTCACTACAATTATTTAATATATTAATAATTACTTTTTTCTGTTAATTTGTGTAAAAATAATATTGATGAACTTTCTGGCAGACCCTCTAACGTACATAATTTCTTTTAATGATATTTAAGTATAATTTTGAAAACTTTTAGTAAAAAAAGTAAAATCTCTACTTTTTCAATATTACTTATTTACTACAATTATTTCACTTATTGATCATTAACTTTTTCTTTCAATATTTGTAAAAATAATACTGATGAACTTTATAGACCTGGGGTATAACTGTAAATAATTTCTTTAAGTATATTTAAAGATATTTTTAACAAAATTTGATATAGGCATTATAAAATTTTAATTATAAATAAATATCTGCATAAATATTGTAGTGCAAACTAAATTCACTACAATTATTTCATTTATTAGTAATTCACTGTATTTAATTTGTCTAAAAATAATATTGATGAAGTTTATAGAAGACGTGCTAATAAAAATAGGTAATTTTTCAAATTATACATAGTTTTTACTAGCAAATTATTATACATATTTTTCTAGCAAATTTTTGATACAAGCTATATTATAAATTTTAATTCAAAAAGTGTCTTTTGTGCTTCATTTAAGTTCTGAATTGCAGAAATTTGTATGAAACGGTAGTTATACATATATTTGATGAATACCCATAAATTATAAAAAACCGAATTCACTACAATAGTGTGTACAATTGATAATTTACTTTTTTTCTTTTAATTTGTGTAAAAATAATATTGATTCACTTTATAGACGGACCTATTAACTGTAAATAATTTCTCTAAGTATATTTAAGCATATTTTTTTTTATCCAAATTTGATTTATATTTTTTATTCAAATTTAAATTATAAAAAAACGAATTCACTACAATAGTGTGTACAATTGATAATTTACTTTTTTTCTTTTAATTTGTGTAAAAATAATATTGATACATTTTATAGACGGATCTATTAACTGTAAATAATTTCTCTAAGTATATTTAAGCATATTTTTTATCCAAATTTGATTTATATTTTTTATCCAAATTTAAATTATAAAAAAAACGAATTCACTACAATAGTGTGTACAATTGATAATTTACTTTTTTTCTTTTAATTTGTGTAAAAATAATATTGATACATTTTATAGACAGACCTATTAACTGTAAATAATTTCTCTAAGTATATTTAAGCATATTTTTTATCCAAATTTGATTTATATTTTTTATCCAAATTTAAATTATAAAAGAACGAATTCACTACAATAGTGTGTACAATTGATAATTTACTTTTTTTCTTTTAATTTGTGTAAAAATACTATTGATTCACTTTATAGACGGACCTATTAACTGTAAATAATTTCTCTAAGTATATTTATGCATATTTTTTTATCCAAATTTGATTTATATTTTTTATCCAAATTTAAATTATAAAAAAACGAATTCGCTACAATAGTGTGTACAATTGATAATTTACTTTTTTTCTTTTAATTTGTGTAAAAATACTATTGATTCACTTTATAGACGGACCTATTAACTGTAAATAATTTCTCTAAGTATATTTAAGCGTATTTTTTTTATCCAAATTTGATTTATATTTTTTATCCAAATTTAAATTATAAAAAAACGAATTCACTACAATAGTGTGTACAATTGATAATTTACTTTTTTTCTTTTAATTTGTGTAAAAATACTATTGATTCACTTTATAGATGGACCTATTAACTGTAAATAATTTCTCTAAGTATATTTAAGCATATTTTTTCTATCCAAATTTGATTTATATTTTTTATTCAAATTTAAATTATAAAAAAACGAATTCACTACAATAGTGTGTACAATTGATAATTTACTTTTTTTCTTTTAATTTGCGTAAAAATACTATTGATTCACTTTATAGACGGACCTATTAACTGTAAATAATTTCTCTAAGTATATTTAAGCATATTTTTTTTATCCAAATTTGATTTATATTTTTTATCCAAATTTAAATTATAAAAAAACGAATTCACTACAATAGTGTCTACAATTGATAATTTACTTTTTTTCTTTTAATTTGTGTAAAAATAATATTGATACATTTTATAGACGGATTTATTAACTGTAAATAATTTCTCTAAGTATATTTAAGCATATTCTTTTTTATCCAAATTCGATTTGTATTTTTTATCCAAATTTAAATTATAAAAAAACGAATTCACTACAATAGTGTGTACAATTGATAATATACTTTTTTTCTTTTAATTTGTGTAAAAATAATATTGATACATTTTATAGACGGATTTATTAACTGTAAATAATTTCTCTAAGTATATTTAAGCATATATTTTTTATCCAAATTTGATTTATATTTTTTATCCAAATTTAAATTATAAAAAAACGAATTGACTACAATAGTGTGTACAATTGATAATTTACTTTTTTTCTTTTAATTTGTGTAAAAATAATATTGATACATTTTATAGACGGATTTATTAACTGTAAATAATTTCTCTAAGTATATTTAAGCATATTCTTTTTAATCCAAATTCGATTTATATTTTTTATCCAAATTTAAATTATAAAAAAACGAATTCACTACAATAGTGTGTACAATTGATAATTTACTTTTTTTCTTTTAATTTGTGTAAAAATACTATTGATTCACTTTATAGACAGACCTATTAACTGTAAATAATTTCTCTAAGTATATTTAAGCATATTTTTTTTATCCAAATTTGATTTATATTTTTTATCCAAATTTAAATCATAAAAAAACGAATTCACTACAATAGTGTGTACAATTGATAATTTATTTTTTTTCTTTTAATTTGTGTAAAAATACTATTGATTCACTTTATAGACGGGCCTATTGACTGTAAATAATTTTTCTAAGTATATTTAAGCATATTTTTTTATCCAAATTTGATTTATATTTTTTATCCAAATTTAAATTATAAAAAAACGAATTCACTAAAATAGTGTGTACAATTGATAATTTACTTTTTTTCTTTTAATTTGTGTAAAAATACTATTGATTCACTTTATAGACGGGCCTATTAACTGTAAATAATTTCTCTAAGTATATTTAAGCATATTTTTTTATCCAAATTTGATTTATAAGCATTTTAAGTTTTTAATGATATACTAACTCTCTGTATAAGTATTGTGGTGCAAACTGAATTCACTACAATTATTTAATTTATTAATAATTTACTTTTTTCTTTTAATTTGTGTAAAAAATAATATTGTCTGAACGTTATGGTATATCTAATTGTATATAATTTCTCTAATTAAATTATATAAAAATTTGATAAGAATTTATTAAAACTTTTTAATCAAAATGAGTTTGTTTTTTGCTATATTTTAGTTCAAAATTGAAGGAATTTGTATGCAACTGTAGTTTTAATTGGTTTTCATTTTTCATGTGTGTATACATTATAACGAATTTTCTTTGTTATTTGATTTTTAATTATTATTTCCACTTTATTTATTGTACATATATTTTATATAATTATTTTTATATAGTATTTTAATCTGTTACAGTATTTTAGTAATAACTACATAGTTTCGATGCCATACCTAAGTAACTTATTACACAACATCATTTCAATTTGATGTGTGTCTTTTAGTTATGTTTTCATTTGAATAATGTTTAAATATTTTCATGTACCTTTTTAATTATGTTTCTTTTTTAATTTAAAATTTCTAGTTCATATTTATTGTACAGTTTGTCCAACCATTTGTCATCGCCTTTGAATAAAAAAAGTTAGCAAGAAATTGTTGTTTTATTTTGTTTAACCTACCTGCCTACTGAGTATAGGCTTGGTGTATTTCAACCGATTTTTAATAATTTAACCAAACCAAAAACTCGCAATACAAAACTAAAGTGTCAAAACGAATGACAGTGTCAGGAAATAAATAAGTGATTGCGGCAACTTGACATTTTTTACAGCAGTGCTACCACCTGAATTCCCAGCGCGAAATTTAAGTTCCAATTAGTCAGCTCGGCGACGAATATACTATAGTTGGCAACAATGGATTTAAAAATTGCGCCCTCGATTACGTAACTGAAAGTTTAATTGATATACAGCAGACTTTTTTACAAAATAGTTGCTAAAGTCTTTTTGTTTGTAAATGGGAATTAAAAAATAACTAGAACTATTTTTAAATTTTCTTTTATTAAAAATATAAATATTAAATAAAGTATGTCATCACAAATCGAATTAAAGAGTTACAAAGTATGGAGAAACAGAGAGATAATCCATTTATATTTCAGATTATATTGGGTGATCCATGGGAAGACCATCAAGGCTTAGAACTTTGTATAATTAAAGTTAACAATAACTCTTTTAGTAGGCTGATTTACACATATCCAGTATATGTCCTGTACAAAGTTCTAAACCTTAGTTTGTTTTATAATGGGAGTTTCTATAAAAAATGTTGTAATAATTAAGTAAATATCAGGCACTGTTATTTTTTTATTGGTCTTTTTAATGTTGAAGGTCGAACTTCTAGAAAAATTGGTTTTTCTTTCGTGCTGGGCATAAACGAATGTGCTCTTCTCACCCCATCACCTATAATTTAAAGAAAATCATATTTCCATATTTTTTCAATAGTAGCAAACTATATTAAATATACCGTAAAACTTATACAGGGTGTCCCACTTAAGATGGATACAAACCAATATCTTGATTGTTTGTTGAGCGATCTTTTTCATTTTTGGCAGGAGGCTGTATTATTTCTGTATTATCGAGCAGCGTGTACCATATTTTTTTTAACGTGAAGCCCTTCTTCTTTTCTGTTGAAATTATTTTTATGTTTGTGGATTTCAATCGCTTCACGATGTAGTCTTGCAAAGTAGTGATTCCCTGTTGAAAGGACTTCCATATTATTGAACAGAATTTGATGATCTTCCTGTGTTATTGTGTGTTCGGCCAGGGCTGATTTCTCTGTTTGTCCGAGACAGGAAGATCTTTTGTGCTCAGTCAAACGTGTATTAATACTACGTTTCGTAGTACCAACATTGTATTTTTCGAGTGGGTTTGAGGATCGGTTTTATGTTCCTCTTTCTTAATAATTTTCCAATGCGGTCAGTGACCCCTCTGATGTATGGAAGAAATGCTACCCCACTGGGAGGTGTATTTTTTTCCTCTTGCCTTTCAACAGGTTTCCTAGGTCTTATGGCTCGTCTGATCGTCTGCTCTCGGTATCCATTGGCTTGTAAGGCTCTGTCTAGGTATTGTAATTCCTCAGTGATGTGTAGAGGTTTGGTTCTTTGGCGGGCTCTGTCAACAAGTGTTTTTATGACCCCTCCTTTTTGACCGGGATGGTGATTTGAATTATTGTGCAGGTAACGATCGGTATGGGTGTTTTTCCGATACACCTTGTATCCCAAACTTAGGTCTTGTCGTCTGTTGACTAGTACATCCAAGAAGGCTAGTTGTGTGTCCTTCTCTACTTCCATCGATAATACAGAAATAAAACGTCCCTTCACCAGCGATCACAAGCAAACCACGCCCTCTGCGCTCAACAAACAATCAAGATATTGGCTTGTATCCATCTTAAGAGAGGGACACCCTGTAGATATTTACAAGGTGTTCTTTAGAGACATGCTAATATTTAAGGACGTGATTCTTGGACCTATTCTAAGAGAAAACTTCATATGAATGTACGTCCTAAACATCTTAATTTCTGAGATACAGGGTGTTAAATGTTAAGAAAAAAAACTTTTTCATAGTAACTCTGATTTTATTACAGATATCTTTATTAAACTTGATACACGTCTTCTATGCATCAAAATACCTTTTTTGGTGTACAAAGAATTTTATTTATTTCAATCAGTGCCGCCCATATGGATTTTACATTGAATATTTTTGGAGAAAAAAGTGGTACACCACTGACTTCTCTTAAAATAAAAATTATTTTCAAAATTTGTATCTTGATTTTTATCGTAAAAAATTAAAGTCAAACAGGGAGAATAAAATATTTTATTACATTGTTTTAGACATTTTTGATTGCCTATTTATTTTAGACAGTTTTAAGAGAATTAATTTCCAACTTACCACTTCTAGATATGGAAGCATACTGATTAAGTTGTGTTTCCAAGAGCTCTTTTTTTCCTTCTGATAACACGATTTTTTCTCTAGCGTTTCTGAGCTCCACATCTAAAGACTCCTTTTCGGTTTCCAATTCTGCCAATTTACTCGCAGCACCTAGAAGTTATTTTAAAGAAATCTTTGAAAAAAATGTCATTAAAAAATTGAATAGCAAGGAATTTACAACCCAGTAAATCTACAAGGTCGCGGAGATTAATCCCCCCCTCTCGTTTTTTTTTCGATCATACGGTATCACTTTACAAAAAAAGTTACAAATGTAAGGGTCTTTACTTTGCAGTTCTTTTTCGTTTTCTTTTTGTCGTTCTTCATACTGTTTGCGTCTTTTTCTCTCTTCTTCGAGTATCTTATGTTGTTCTTCCTGCAACCGTTCCAATTCTTCACGCTTTTCCCATTCTTCTGCCAAAACTCTCGCTTGCAAAGCTCTCACAATCTCTTCATCCCTGTAAAATTAAAAATTAAATTTAGATATTTTATTTTGTTAAGTATTTGCGTATACAGGGTGTTTCAAAAAACCATGTGCCATCTCTCGTTGGTAGATTCCTCGCGTAAAAATAAGATTTATTTTTATATCAACATAGGGATCGATTCTGCGTTGTTTCGTAGCTACAGGGTGTTAAAGTATTAATAATCTTTAGATTTATTATAATTTTCTTCCAATTACTTTTAGCGATTCGAATGAAATTTTGAGGGTAAAAGTTACTATAAGTGGTACATATTTTAATGCTAAAAAAATATAAAACACATAAAATTGTGTAGGCCGTTTAATGCCAATTAAAAGTTATCTCTTGATATTTTGTCGAATTCGACCTCCTTGATGAGATAAAAGCAATTTTATTAATCACAATTAATAAATTATATATTTTGCCTCTAATTTATTATTTAATATTATTACTATTAGTCCAACCTACAGCAATTTCAAATAACAAAATAATGGTATATAAGATAATTACCAAATACCTAATTGAGCGTCCGGATTGCACAACGACCTTAGCGCGTGGCCACGGGCAGCCCAGCAGACAAGCAAGACAGCGACGCGTTGTTGCGCGCCGATTTAACAAAATAAATAAATTTAAACCTGCCGTCATTTCATTAATAATTATCTATCGTATACTCATGAGTCTTTAACGCTTCCGACAAGCTTAAATAACTGGATTATTTTTTATATTTTCGATTTGTTTACTTTCCCCGAGCATATTATAACTTTGAGATAAAAATCCCTGTTATAAATTTTAAAACTGACAAATATGAATACTATCATTTAATTAGTTATACATTTAGTTACAACATATTCAAAATTTAGGTTTATCGGTTTATGCTAGCAGTAATAACGAATATAACTAAAAAAATGGTCAATACAACGCTCGCCGTTTTTAGCGCACGTTCTGCTTTTTGGGTTTAGTTTAAGTAATATTTTTACAGAAAATAAATTCTGAACTTTGATCAAATGACAAGAACATTATCATTACCGATATCTCCTGGTTATAATGTAGTTCTTTTTTCAAAATATTGCATTGTTTTAGCTTAAAAAAACTTGAATTATGCGGCTTTTTTGCGAGAGCTACCGGAGCTGCGTTAATAAAGAGATGGCTATGTACGTCAATCATAGCCACAATAGACTGTAATTTTGCCTCTTCACGAGATTTTTTGGAAATATTGCACTTCCATTTATCCGAATTTCTACTAACTTTTGACCTTTCTTTTCGGTCGCATTTCCCTCTATTTAATAATAAATAATTTAAAAAAACGCAAAAATACTACTGGTAGTAAACAAGCGGTGACAAAAATTTTCTATACTCCGTGTAAACAAAAGACTATCGCAAATACTGTCTTTCGATTGACGTACATAGCCATCTCTTTATTAAAGCAGCGCCGGTAGCTCTCGCAAAAAAGCCGGATAATTCAAGTTTTTTTAAGCTAAAACAATGCAATATTTTAAAAAAAGAACTACATTATAACCAGAAGATATCGGCAATGATAATGTTCTTGTCATTTGATCAAAGTTCAGAATTTATTTCTGTAAAAATAGCGCTAAAACTAAAACCAAAGCTGAACGTGCGCTAAAAAAAGCGTTGTACTGACCATTTTTTTATTTATACTCGTTATTACTGCTAGCATAAACCGATAGACCTAAATTTTGAATATGTTGTAACTAAATGTATAACTAATTAAATGATTATTATTAAATAGTATTCATATTTGTCAGTTTTAAAATTTATAACAGAGATTTTTATCTCAAAGTTATAATATGCTTGGGCAATGTAAACAAGTCAAAAATATAAAAAATAATCCAGTTATTTAGGCTTGTCGGAAGCGCTAAAGACTCATGAGTATTTCTATGCAAAAATCAGCACGATACGATAAGTATTAACGAAATGACGGCAGGTTTAAAATTATTTATTTTGTTAAATCGGCGCGCAACAACGCGTCGCTGTCTCGCCTGCCTACTGGGCTGCCCGCGGCCACGCGCTAAGGTCGTTGTGCAATCCGGACGCTCAATTTTAAAAAGTTTTTAACATCCTGTAACTCTAAAACTATACATTTCCATACCCATGTTTATAGGAACTTTTTTTCATATTTTTTGATGAGGAATCAATGAGTACTTATTTAAAACTTTCGCAAGTTAATAATAAAACAAGAGAAAAAAAGTCAGTGGCGTACATGCTTTTTAATGCCTTTTGATTTTTTAAATCTTTACTTTACTTTAAAAGTAAAGATTTCAATTAACATCTTCTTTTTGCTGCCAGGGCTAATCTGGACGGGGCCTACTTTGTTTACGCGGAATCTGAACCGCGGTCCTCGGCCATTATATCCATGGTCAATGGCCTACCGACTTGACAAGTGTCTAAATCGACTCTTACTCACGAGATATCCGATCTCATCCGGCCTCGAACCGGCGTGAATGAGCAGTGTGTGTCAATAGATTTTACACTTTTGCCATTTTTTTTGGACAACAGCACGATACAGAGTTTGGAACCGGTCACCCATCCATCCACTAGTATCGCCTTACGTCGCTTAACTTCGGTGTTCTAATGGGAACCGGTGTCGACGTAGCTGGCCCATAGCTGGGCCGTTGCCACATTTGTTTGTTGCTTTTTTAGAAAAATATTCCAGTGATATTCCCATATGCACGTCCCTGGTGAATATGCACGTCCCTGGTGAATATACAGGGTCCGGCAATAGTGCGTCGGGCATCTGTATAAAAAAATATTAGAAATACAAGAACTGTTCTGAAATCAAAACTATACTAAGTATTTACTTTAGATGGTCTGTACTTACTTTGTTATAAATATGAAAATCTTAAATTATACAGGATGTTCAAAATTCTACGCCAAACTTTCTAAAATATAAAATAATTTTTCTTCGTTTTTTTAAATGGAACACCCTGTATATTATTTTTTCAATAGATGGAGAATTAAAAAATGAACATTTATTGTATTTAGAGTATTTCAAAATTTTTAACGGTTTCGCAGATATTTGCGGTTTTATATTTCATATGGCATTTTCCACAGTAAATTTTTATCAAAGCCACCCAATGATTTTTCTCTCGTATTTTACCATTGAAAGCGCCATATGAAATAATACTGCGTGTATCTGCGAAACCGTTTAAAATTTTGAAATACTCTAAATACAAAAAATGTTCATCTTTAAACTCTCCATTTAATAAAAAAATAATATACAGGGTGTTCCATTTAAAAAAACAAAGAAAAATTATTTTATATTTTAGAAAGTTTGGCGTTGAATATTGAACATCCTGTCTGATATACGATTACCATATTTATAGCAAAGTAAGAACAGACCATGACTAAAGTAAATACCTCATATAGTTTTGATTTCAGAACAGTTCTTGTATTTTAATAATTTTTTTAAGAAGGGCTGAAAAATATATATTTTTGATTTATTTTTTAATATCTCTGAAACTATCGAAATATATTTATTCATATCTTAGGGTTATGTCAAAGTTTACAGAATAAAATATAAGTTCCGTCACTTGTGCCGGCGGCAGGTATCAAAAGCCGCTTCACGCACGTGTTTCCCAGTGTATTCCTGGTGTGTGGACTTTGGACCCAGCGTACACGGCGGATCACGTTCGGCGTATTACTCTGATTTTGGCGTTATTACAGAGTGGTCTCGCATGCATATGGAATTATTTTTCAAGTGGTTATTTAATTTTCATTGCAAAGTGTTACTGATCACATTAGCCTTAGCTAATTATTTATTAGTTTATTATAAAAAAGCATAATTATTTTTATTATTTCTTAAAAATAATATTGAGTTTTTCGCCACTGGAAAAAAAATTATTTAAAATATCTAATTAGAATTATTCAAGAACACTTTATTTTTACATGAAAAAACATATACTGGGTGTGTCTCAAAAGTGGCTTATCCCTATAACTTTTTATTTTTTCTGATAAAAAACGAGATTTGGTGTGTTAGTATATGACCTAAATTAGGATTGATTAACGTTTTCAATTTTTTTTCGGTCACTTCCGGTTTCACCGAAAATGACTACAACTTTTAATTTTAAACGGCAACCTCGGCATTTTTCTACTTTATTCGATAAAAAATGACACTCTGAATAGAATGACATATCATATGTCAACTTTTGGCATTCTAGCTTAAAAAAAACTTTTAAAATTTCAATATTGAGTGTCATAGCTAAATGGTATTTTTAACCATATCTTATTTTTTTTCAAATGGAAGGAGGGTGGCTCATTAGTATATTTGGAAAAAGTATTTTTTTACGAATAATTTCATGCCACACACTTGGTATTTCGAGTCAAATTGTCGTTATAAACCGCGTGTTACACTTTCAAATAAATCATATGTGAAACTCTTAAAAGCTGACATATGATATGTCTTTCTACTCAGAGTATCATTTTCTATCGAATAACGTAAAAAAATACCGAGGATACCATTTAAACATCAAAAGTTGTTGACATTTAATAGTTTCAGCTTTGAATTTTATAGTGTACGTAATTCGTGTTGGAAAACCATATTACGCACTCATGGAATACTACACTCGTGCGCAGGGTTTGGAAGTACTTAATTAAGACGTAATTTACCTGATTAACTACGTGTAGTTTTTCTTCAAAAACTACGTCTGTTCCCGTTCATTAACTACATGAAAACTACGTTAATAAACTATGTATTGATATTATGAATAATTTTCCTTTGTATGAGGTGTAATAGAGATAATATGATGTAAATATTATATTTAAAACCATATTTCTTCTGTTTTATTAAATACATTATGTGTTTTTAAAGCTTCAACTTATTACAACCTCACCTCAAACCTTTGATATTTGAAGGTAAAATACATAGGTTACATAAACTACACCCTCTACATAAACTACATTAACTACAAGTAATGTAGTTTATGTAGTTTTTAAAAGTAACATGTAGTTTTCCGAACCCTGCTCGTGCGTAATATTATTTTTTCCAAAACACTCGTTACGTAATATACTTTTACATTATTTACTGTTGATACTGTGTAGCTTTATTTTTTGTGTTTGTTTTTAAAATTTATTTTATTTTTGCTATATCTTTTTTTATCTTGCCATGTCTAAATATTTATATGTAACAGTATAAATTTAAATTTATATGTAACACCAATAAACTGATAGTATATTTTTTCTTTTGTAGATTTACTATTAGGTATTTTTGAAATACCCCACGTTCCCCTGCACCTTGTCGCACATTGCGATCGGTAAAAATGCGGCTTCTATTTACCCCGGCTTCCACTCCTCTTTTCATCGAAATCCGGCGTATCGGACGAGGCGGCTTCTGGCTTTTGATACGCGATTTTCAAAGTGCCGATGCTAAGTGACCGAACTTATATTTTATTCTGTAAACTTTGGTTATGTTAAGTGATCTGAAAGGAAGCCAAAAATGGAATAATATACAGGGTGTTTCATTTAAAAAAAATCATCCAGGACCACTCACACTTTTTTGAGCCACCCTATAGAAGTTAAAATATTTTCCTGAAATACATCCTGGTACACATTTTAGGTTTGCACTTAAACAAAATTCTCAGGTTTTTTATTCTAGGAGCTACAGATGCCCGACGCACTATTGCCGGACCCTGTATAATAAATCGAACAAATATTAAAATTTAAAATTGTCGCTGATGACTTACAACCAAAAAAATGGCATCTAACATCACAAATTCTGCTGCAGCCCGTATATGGGCATTACGTGTCCTTGTATTCTTTAGTCACTGGTTTTTATTAACTCACCTTTTGGCTTGTGTCTCTTCTTCCAACAATTTTTCCAGTTTAATTTTAACATCCAACAATTCAGACAATTTCTTGGAGTCTTCCCGAACAACAGCTTCCAATTCCTTGGCTTGCCCTTCAGCTAACTGTCTGGCATTTCTTTCTTCTTGCAACTGAGCCCTTTAACAAAAACATATTTTCTATAGATCGTCTATGTTATTTAAAGAATTTTACCTTGCTCTCATCATTTCTTGAATCCTTCCCTGTCTTTGAAGACGTCTTTTAGACGCTTGAAGTCTTTGATAGCTTTGAACTTGATCTGAGTGATCTATGGCCAGTTGTAGGGATGAAATCCATTGCAACCGAGTCATGTGATCTGGCGCACCTGTATAATTATTAGAAAAAAATCAATTTTTTTTCAATACGTAAGGCACTATGATCGAAAAAAAGCGGCGTCAGTGATGGCTTTGAAATGAAGGTCGCTGTCATTTTATATGGGGAATGTCATCGATCGTTCAAAGCCAACTAGACGCTGTTTTTTTTCTATCATAAGGTATAATATGCATAAAGAGTATCTCCAAAACCGTTAACAAAATCCTAATTACTTTTTAAATACCAAAAATATTGATTTGTTTAATTCTGTATATTTAAACGAAAAATAATATACAAGACTATACCGGGTGCGTCTCAAAAGTGGCTCACCCCTATAACTTTTTTATTTTTTCAGATAGAAAAACGAGATTTGGTGTGTTAGTATATGACATACATTAGGATTAATTGACGTATTCAATTGTTTTCAGTCACTTCCTGTTTCACCGGAAATGACTACTACTGTTGAGTTTTAAATGGCACCCTCGGTATTTTTTTACTTTATTCCATAGAAAATGACACTCTGAATCGAGTGACATATCATATGTCAACTTTTGACATATTCGCTCAAAAACAAGTTGTATTTTAGATTTCAATCTGGAGTGCCATGGCTGTGTTAAAAATACTAATTTTTAATCAAGGAGCCTACAAAAATATCGTCCAATGTTTTTAGTGTCTTGTCCTGGTTGGTTCAAAGATGACCAAATCGTATTTTTAATCACATCTCAATTATTTCAAATGGAACGAGGGTGGCTCATTAGCATATTTGGTAAAAGCATTTTTTTACCAATAATTTGATACCACACACTTGGTATTTCGAGTCAAATTGTCGTTATGAACCGCATGTTGTAATTTCAAATAAACCATACGTTAAAATGTCAAAAGTTGACATATGATATGTCATTCTATTCAGAGTGTCATTTTCTATCGAATAAAGTAAAAAATACCGAGGGTGCCATTTAAAAATCAAAAGTTGTAGTCATTTCCGGTGAAACCGGATCGAATATGTCAGTCAATTCTAATTTATGTCATATACTAACATATCAACTCTCGTTGTTTTATCTAAAAAAAAAATAAAAAAGTTATAGGGGTGAGCCACTTTAGAGACGCACCCGGTATAGGTTTTTCATTAAGGCTTTTGGAAATTCTGGACAAGTGAACTCAGAAATCAGGGACTGTGGCAGTACTCTGTATATTTGATACAGGGTGTTCCAAAAAGCTGTATATCAGGTTTCTGGTTTAACATCTTTACTGCAATCTTTTCTATAACATATTTGGACAATGGCCAACATTTTAAAAATAGTTTTCTCAATATACAGGGTGATTCAAGATATTTTCAAACCAAAGTTGTTTATTATTCTCAGTGGATTTATCATTAAATTCCCATACCAAGAATATTATAATATAATGAATGTCATATTCTATACCGAGTGGTTTCTAACTATCTAATAAAAAATGATTGAAAGCAAAATCTCAAACCAGAAATCTAATATAGAGATTTTGCATAACAATGGGTCGCTATATATAAGGTGAGTCTTAGATAAGTGCAAATATTTTTAGTGATTGTATATTTCGACCCTAGGAACACGCCTATGAGGTTGTTTTCATAACAAAAATAGTTAAAAATAAAATATCTTGATAATATGTCAACATATTATGTAGTAGAATATTTTTTTAGATATTTAGAGGAAGGAAAAAAAAACAGAAAAAATTTTCAAAATTTAATCAACAAATCAATTTTTTAAATATTTTTTATCGAGATACCAGTCCTGAAAATAATTGCACATATTGAAGACTCACCCTGTATATAAAAAAATATTGATATTTATATATGTAAATATTATTTGTTGGAAATCTACACAACAATGTATTTTAAATTTTAACAGTGTACGATCTTCTTTAGAGGTTTTTATTTGAATTTGTTTTCTAAATAAATGTTAATTGATTTGTTTACAAACTATATTTAAAACTTTCAAAGGCATCTTTATAAAGAGTATTTCCTAAATGTATGAATTATTTTTCAAATGTTGATTTGTCTCTTGATAAACAAATTCAAAGAATGTTTTAACTTTTATTAAAATTTATAATATTCTCTGACAAAGCTTAAAAATGAAAAATAAATGCAGTTTCTTTACCTAATTCAAAATGCTTTTCTGCTGGAGTATGCAAGATAAATTTGTATCCTGTCGATAACGGTTCAATTCTGCTTCCTTTCTGTATCACTAACGTGTCGCATTTATCTTTTTCTGATCTAGTTTTGTAGTATGTCAGTTCAGAAGGTCGCAGTACGAACCAGTATTCCTTCATTGTGGGAAAAATGTACCCCTTCTTCGATAGATAGCTAAAAACATGATTATATTAACCATGGGCGTAGCCCAGATGGGGCAAAGTGGGGCAGTTGTGCAGTAGGGACCTTTTAAAAAAGGACCCTGCTAAGGGTCTGCACCCTAAAGTATAAGATCACGTACCGCCACTGGTATTAACTGTACTAAGTAGGAAATGAAAACCAAACAAATAGTGCGACGAATTCATGTACTGAAAAATGTACATGTAAAAAATAGCGTTTAGATAGATAGTAGTTGGTAGGTATATTGGCGCAGTCTGTGTAGGATCAATATTAAAAATTTTGCCGAATAATTTTCTAATAAGAAAATGTTTACCCTTTTTTGATGACGTCCTCAACAATTCTCTGATATATGTCCGTGATTGCTTCCTTAATAGCTATATCTTCCTTCACAGTAGGTATACATCTAGATTCTAGCACTGCTATAAAAGGAGCTAATCGAAAATTCCCCATAGAGATACTCAAATTGTTAAAATCTTCCTCGTCAAATATACAACCAACTGAGCTAGCTAAAGCTTGAGCTATAATACTAACCTGAAAAATATATTAGACACTATAACTACTGAGGTAGAAATAAATATAATATAAACCGCCAGGTGACTCACCAATGCAGTTATTAACTACAAACTGAAGAGAACTTTTCTGTTACTTAAATTATATCTAAATTTTGGCGACATACCTCTGATGGATGAAGAAACACTTGGTAACTATGCTCCATACTATCCGAAGACATTTCAGCTAAAACGCAGAATATCCGAAATATTTGAAATATCGCTTCTTCACTAAACAACTTGGTTTCCCTTTGGAGGTATTTTTTCTTACAAACTAGCCAGCAAACCTAAAACAACAATATCAAAATATCTAATAATAACTCTACAATCTAGTCTGAGGGAGATACAGGGTATATAATAAGTTGATATACCTCTGCAATCTTATTTTCGTATTCTCTCAACTCAGGCATGGGTAATTTGTCGGGCAATGAAGAAAACACTTCATTTTGTAAGTAGTACTTGTACTGGTCGAAGTTGAGCTGAGGTGTGCTTTTGAAGTGCTCCAAACCTTTTTCGACGCCATAGAGGTCAAGAAATGTTCCAATATTGGCTGTCAAGACCTATAAATAACAATAAGATGTTTTAATTTATTAGATAATGTTGAGTCTATTATTAAATGTATAAAAAATGCCGCTTTGTAGTAAAGAGTTTTTATACTAATATACCGGATGTGTCTCAAAATGGTTCACCCCTATAACTTGTTTATTTTTTCAGATAAAAAAAACAAGATTTGATATGTTAGTATATGACATAAATTAGGATTCATTGACGTATTCAATTGTTTTCGGTCACTTCCTGTTTCACCGGAAATGACTACAACTTTTGGTTTTTAATTAACACCCTCGGTATTTTTTTACTTTATTTGATAGAAAATCAAACTCTGAATAAAGTGACACATCATATGTCAACTTAAAACAAAATTGTATTTTAAATTTCAATCTAGAGTGCCATGGCTGTGTAAAAAACACTAATTTTCTTCTTAATAATTTTCGTCTTATGTTTTTAGTATCTTGTCCTGACCGGTTAAAATATGACCAAATCGTATTTTTAATCATATCTAATTTTTTTCAAATGGAACGAGGGTGGCTCATTACAATATTTGGAAAAGGCATTTTTTTACGAATAATTTGGTACCACACACTTGGTATTTCGAGTCAAATTGTCGTTATGAACCGCATGTTGCAATTTTAAATAAACCATATTCGAAAATATCAATAGTTGACATATGATAAGTCATTCTATTCAGAGTGCCATTATCTATCGAATAAAGTAACAAAATATCGATAAAGCCATTTAAAAATGAAAAGTTTTAGTCATTTCCGATGAAACAGGAAATGACCGAAAACAATTGAATACTTCAATCAATCCTAATTTATGTCATATACTAACATACCAAATCTCGTTCTGTAATATGAAAAAATAAAAAAGTTATAGGGTGAGCCACTTTGACGCACCCGGTATTGAACTAAATAAAATTATGCATTACGGAAAATAAAAAATAAGAAAAAAAAATCCACAGCTTATGAATATACAGGGTGACAAGTTGAAAACGAACAGTATTTAATATTGCCTCTACCGATGATAGTATGAAAATTTGGCGAAACACGTCAATTTACATATCAAGGGGGACAATTTTTGAGGCATTTGTTGTCGTGTTACTTTCAACTCTTTGACCCCCAGGGCACCTAACCCTAAAATTTTAAATAGCAACCCCTATTTCTTCTACCATTTTTGTGTTTCTTATAGAATTCTACTTAAACTGCATAATTTTTTTGAGAATTTTATAAGGAACACAAAAATTGTAAAAGAAATAGGGGTTGCCATTTAAAATTTTAGGGGTAGGTGCCCTGGGGGTCAAAGAGTTGAAAGTAACACGACAACAAATGCCTCAAAAATTGTCCCCCTTGATATGTAAATTGAAGTGTTTCGCCAAATTTTCATACTATCATCGGTAGAGGCAATATTAAATAATGTTCGTTTTCAAATTGTCACCCTGTATATAACTTTATGTAATAAAAAAAATAAAGAAGATTGATTCGAAAGCAAATAGGGAAACAGTTGTTAAAAAGATTAATAATATAATATCAGAAGTTCTTTTAGAAAATTTCAGTTTTTTCTGTGTGATATTTTTAGGATATTAGAACTTAATAGGCAAATCCTATTAACTAAGAAAATAATATAACACTGTATCTGTATAATGACAGAAATATTTTAAAATGGGCCCTACGACCCCTACCACAGCCCACATATTTTAGTTAATGATGATATTTTTTGATAGATATCTATACTTAAAATATTTTAATTATTATGCATATACAGGTATATAAATAGAACACAATTTAAATTCTTCAATACATATTTTTCTCTTTAAAAATAACAGTAAATTGTCTTTAACTAATACACGCCTCACATATTATACATTGACACATTATTAAATAATGCAACGATTTGCTTATTAAAACTGTATTACTTCTTGTATTTTATTTACGTATAGGTATTTACAATCAAGATCTCGTTTTTTCTTCTTATTGCTAACCTTCCAATTCTGTTATATACCTTGACATAAACACAAGAACACCTTTGTAAAATTCTGTTCTTGAATAAGGAGAGATTTTATTTTTAAATCAAATCGTTCTATATAAGGTATTCTTTTTTAAGACTGGTTCTCTATACTATACGGTTTCCAATTCTGTTTCATTTGATTAAAGATTTTTTTTACATTTTAAGAATAATAATAAATAAAGTTATTTAATGATAATAACAAAAAATAACACATAGTCGCTCCAATGAAGGAATACATGACAGTGACATCTGTATTTCAATTCTTATGTGAATTATATCGTATGATCAAAAAAAACGGCGTCAAAAATGGCTGGGAATGACAATCGATAATAATTTTGGCGAGGTCAATCTCTAGACGTCAGTTGAAAATTGAGATAAAACTTGTCAAAAAAAACACTGATTATACAATGATTAAAAAAGGATAGAAAGTTTCCAGACACACACAAATCTACTTCCAAAAAAAAATTGTAGAATTTTAAACTACACACCATTAAAAAATCATTTTTAATCAATATGAAAATAAATTACAACCTTCTTGAGGCCACTGGCATGGCGCCTTTATAAAATACAGAAGATTTATTTAATAGCAAATTAAAGAAAAAGTCATGTTTTTATCAATAATTTTATTTAATTAAAAATGTTAAGGTGTTAATAAGTGAGTATACATCGTAAATTAGTTTAAAATAAATATTATTTATTAATAGAAAAAATCTAACTGCCTTAAAATAGTTTACTTTCTGATTTAGGATAGCAAAATGAGTCAAAAACCACAGTTTATTAAATAAAAATTTAAATAACTATTTCTTAAAAGAGAATGACTAGTTAAACAAGTTATATAGAATTATATACTATATTATTTATTTATTTCACTAATTTTTATTACTTTTAACATCTAAATGCACTCCCTTTTTTAAATTAGTCATTATTATTCTCATTAGAAAAAAAACAACTATAAACATGTAGACATTTTATTTAAAGATTGTAAATCTATATACAGGGTAAAAATTAATAATTGAGAAAAAAATTAAAATTAAAAAAACACTTTTTAAAAATTCAGTAGAGTTTTTTATACAAAATCTTTTCATTTGACGTTTTACTATAACGTCATATACTTATAATATATACACTATGTCCAGGGATTGTCTTTACAAGAGGAAAAACATTTTTATTATTGACATTTCGAGAAAATTGCATTTTTGATAAAAAAAATTTGCTTGTTCTAAAATGGTTAATTCCGTTTATACTTTTCCAAATATCCATACCCGTGTGAGAGAAAATTATAGAAAACAATAAAAATATAGTTGAATTTTCTAAAAAGTCCTAAATATCAAAAGGCTTTTTCTATTGTAATATAATTTCGTTTTCATTCTTTGTTACATTTTTATTGGTAGACTAGCATGTACCCGCGACTTCGTTCGCGTCGAATTAATCATTTGTAATGGTGATATGATAAAGCAAAGCAAGAATTTCCATTAACATACAAACTGGAGCAGAATCGTGGTTAATCAATTGCCCAACTTTTTGGAACACCCTGTATGATTTTTTAAAAAATTTCAAAATATGTAAAAAACAAAATAAATTATACGTGTCCAAGCGTTTTCCCGAAAGACTTAGAACCGTTTTTTAAATAACAAATATTGTAATATTTTAGGGGCGTTTTCACCCTCTTGGAATTTGAGTTTCGAGAAACCCTTCCTTATCGAACCTCTACACTCGACAGTCAATCCGTTTGCCAAAATCAGCATTAAACGTCAAGCAGCTTAAGCAGAATCGTGATTACTCAATGGTCATATGTTATGAAACACCCTGTATAAATTTTTAAAAAATCTTAAAATATGTAAAACAACAAAATAAAATATACGTGTTTAAGAATTTTTCCGAAAAACTCACCGGATTTTAAATAAAAAATATTCTAATATTTGAGGGGTGGTTTCACCCCCTTAGAATTCGAGTTTCGAAAAATACCTTCTTATCGAACCTCTACACCCTAAAGTCAATCCGTTTTCCAAAAATTAGCTTTTTACGTCAAGCGCTTTAAGCAGGATCGTGATTAATCAATGACAAGATTTTTCGAAACACTGGTATACATTTTTAAAAAGTCTTAAAATATGTAAAAAACAAAATAAAATATACGTGTTCAAGCGTTTTTTCGGAAACATGATCGTTTTTTAAATAAAAAATATGGTAATACTTGAGAGGTGGTTTCACCCTCTTGGAACTGGGATTTCGAAAAATCCCTTCTTATCGAACCACTACATCCTAGAATCAGCCTGTATGCCAAAATTGAGCTTCTTACGTTGAGTGGTTTGAGCAGGATCGTGATTAATCAGTGAGTCACTTAAGAATTTTATATATTAGTATAGATTATTTGAGGGGCGTTTTCACCCTCTTGGAATTTGAGATTCGAGAAACCCCTCCTTATCGAACCTCTACACCACACAGTCAATCCGTTTGCCAAAAATCAGCTTTAAACGTCAAGCAGTTTAAGCAGAATCGTGATTACTCAATGGCCATATTTTATGAAACACCCTGTATACATTTTTAAAAAATCTTAAAATATGTAAAACAACAAAATTAAATATACGTGTTTAAGAGTTTTTCCTAAAAACTCACCGGTTTTTAAATAAAAAATATTCTAATATTTAAGGGGTTGTTTCACCCCCTTAGAATTCGAGTTTCGAAAAGTCCCTTCTTATCGAACCTCTACACCCTAAAGTCAATCCGTTTTCCAAAAATCAGCTTTTTATGTCAAGCGCTTTAAGCAGGATCGTGATTAATCAATGATCAGATTTTTCGAAACACCCTGTATACATTTTTAAAAAATCTTAAAATATGTAAAACAACAAAATAAAATATACGTGTTTAAGAATTTTTCCGAAAAACTCACCGGATTTTAAATAAAAAATATTCTAATATTTGAGGGGTGGTTTCACCCCCTTAGAATTCGAGTTTCGAAAAATACCTTCTTATCGAACCTCTACACCCTAAAGTCAATCCGTTTTCCAAAAATCAGCTTTTTATGTCAAGCGCTTTAAGCAGGATCGTGATTAATCAATTATCAGATTTTTCGAAACACCCTGTATACATTTTTAAAAAATCTTAAAATATGTAAAAAAAAGAAAATAAAATATACGTGTTTAAGCGTTTTTTCGGAAACTTAACCGTTTTTTAAATAAAAAATATAGTAATATTCCACTCCTCTTTTTACCCCCTTAGGGGATGAATTTTAAAAAATCCTTTCTTATCTCAAGTAAACATCATAAAAGGAACCCCTGTGCAAAATTTCAGCTTTCTAGGGTCAAGGGTTTGGTCTGGGCGTTGATGAGTCAGTGATCAGTCAGGACTTAGATATTTATATACAGGGTGTTTCAAAACAAATGCGAAAAACTTCAGGGGGTGATTCCTTGTTTAAAATAAAGGGTAGTTTGCTTTATAAACGTTGGGTCAAAAGTCAACCATTAGGGAGATATCGCGGTACAAAGATGACGGAAAAATAAAGTTTTTATTTTTTATTTTGAAAACGAAAAGAAATAGACCAATGAAATTTTATGGAAGCATTACTGTTATGAAAACACACTTTCTGGTAATTTTTTCACTTTTTTAAAATGAGTGGAAGGGGTTGAAATAAACTACCCCTATCATTCTTGTTAAAGGAATTTAAAGAAAAATCTTATCAAACACATGTAAAAAAATTAATTTGGATAGTATAGTTTGTTTAGAAACTTTTTTATCTCTTGTGTATTTTTGATAAAACTCACCGATTTGAAATTAAAAAATAAAATGTAAAGCACTACATGTCAGGACAAAAACATTTTTAGATAAAGAATCTAGTGGGCTGCTGTAATTTTTTTTGGAAAAAATCTAGACGCCGCCGTTACTTTTTAGGATTAGTTTCTAATATTATTTTATTTGACATTACTCTACTGAAATAAGTTATTATCTTACGATCAATTAATTATTCCGAAGCCTTTTTTCTTCATCTAAAAATGTTTTTTTGTTTTGACATGTCATGCTTTACATTTTATTTTTTAATTTCAAATCGGTGAGTTTTATCAAAAAAACACAAGAGATAAAAAAGTTTCTAAATGAACCAATCTATCCAAATTAATTTTTTTGCATGTCTTTAATAATATTTTTCTTTAAATTTCGTTAGCAAGAATGATAGGGGTAGTTTATTTCAACCCCTTCCACTCATTTTAAAAAAGTGAAAAAATAACCAGAAAGTGTGTTTTCATAACAGTAATGCTTCCATAAAATTTCATTGGTCTATCTCTTTTCGTTTTCAAGATAAAAAATAAAATCATTATTTTTCCGCCATCTTTGTACCGCGATATCTCCCTAATGGTTGACTTTTGACCCAACGTTTATAAAGCAAACTACCCTTTATTTTTAACAAGGAATCGCCCCCTGAAATTTTTCGCATTTGTTTTGAAACACCCTGTATATAGAAGTTAAATTAACTTCATATTATTTGCTGTTTTAAAATGTTAAAGAAGCACAAAATTTATTTAGTTCAATGCTACGGAAAGGGCGATAATAGTTATCGGAAATTGCTAAATTTATGCTAGATTTTTTTATTTCAAAATTAGTTCAGCTCTCTGAATAACCTGTATATTATGACATATCGAAATAAACTTGAGGTCTACTTTGTGGCATGATTTTGCAGAAAAATGCAAAATTTAACACAAAAAACTGCGTTCTATTTTTTTTAACAATTTCTCTCATTGATATACCCTGTACAAGATATTCACATTAATATATTCAGGACAATGACTTATTAATTTGTATAGTTTAAATAATATCATTTTCCGAATAATAATAATATACGAAAAGTATGTCATGAACTAGACGTGGGACCGAAAATGTTATTTCTACTTTTTTTTAAACAATAACGATTAATTATAAACAAAGCAATATGTCTACTGTATCGCGGATAATACAGTAGGTATGTTGAATATTATTGAAAACATATTGAAAAAACTTCGTAACCGCTGGCGCTGGCGTTAAAAGCATAAAAATTTGAGCAACGCATCTTTTAAGCCAAGCAAGGGTGTATAATAAGTTTATACCGGGTGCGTCTCAAAAGTGGCTCACCCCTATAACTTTTTATTTTTTCAGATAAATAAAAACGAGATTTGGTAATTTGGTATATGACATAAATTAGGATTGACTCACATATTCAATTCTTTTCGACTACTTCCTATTTCACCGGAAATGACTGCAACTTTTGATTTTTAAATGTCAGCCACCGTATTTTTTTTTTACTTTATTCGATAGAAAATGATATTCTGAATAGAATGACATACCATATGTCAACTTTTGAAATTTTCGCTTTAAACAAAATTGTATTTTAAATTTCAGTCTAGAGTGCCATGGCTGTGTTAAAACCACTAATTTTTATACAAGGAGCTTTGGTAAAATCATAAATGTCTTTGGGTAAAATAGATTTGATCGTCTAATGTTCTTAGTCTCTTGTTCTGATCGGTTAAAAGATACCCAAATCGTATTTTTAATCATATCTCTTTTTTTCAAATGGAACGAGGGTGGCTCATTAGCATATTTAGAAAAAAAATATTTTTAACGGATAATTTGGTACCACACACTTGGTATTTGGAGTCGTTATGAATGACATGTTGTAATTTCAAATAAGTCATGTGAAAATTTGACTATAATATATCATTCTATTCAGAGTGTCATTTTCTATCGAATAATGTAACAAAATACTGTGGATGCCATTCAAAAATCATAGTCATTTCCGGTGAAACAGGAAGTGACCGAAAACAATTAAATATGTCAATCAATCGTAATTTATGTTATATACTAACATACTACATCTCGATTTTTTATCTGAAAAAATAAAAAAGTTATAGGAGTGAGCCACTTTTGTTAGCCACAAGTGTAAAATGGGAAATAAAATTTTGTATAAAAATGGGTTATTTTTTGGTCTAGAAGTGTTGTCGAAATGTTCACGATGGTTCTGGCAGTAAAAATACTAAGAATAGAATATTTTTTTAAATAATCTCTTATTAGGGAGACAAAATGGAGACAGGGTATAAAAATTATACGAAAATTCGATACATCGGAGTCAAGAAAAATGAAATATTAAATAATGACTTTATTGAGCACTAGAAACATTTAGAGGGTAAAATCACAGGTAAAATTGACTATTTAGGGGATAAAATAAAATGGGTATGAAAAATGTTCAAGCTTCATGTATTGATTTATATTTTTTTTACACTCAAAAAAGTATAAGTTAATGAATGAATGCGTTTGACAAAATGACAGATTATTTAGTTATTCATTATGTACAGATGCTTGTTTATTGATTTATTTATAATAAAAGTAATAGTTAAAAAAAAGAATAAAAATATAAGAACAAATTGTTTAAATATGTACAAATAAAAATAATAAAACTAAAAATTAACCTTAAGTTTCGACTTGTTGACAAATCCAAGCTGATCCTGCTGCAACGACTCAAAGGCCAAACAAATGCAATTAGTCACATTGTTCAGTAAAACCGACATTATATCAATTAAATATCACTTAAAATTCTTTAGATATCTTCTATAATTTCTTTTATTCACGTAATATCCAAAAAAAAAATACACAACAATCGCAATGTTTTTGGTTTTTAGTAATTTTTCACACAAAAAAACGCGCGCGTCTTGTTTGGAAGATGTTAAAAAAGTTGTAACAACGAAAACGGGTACAATTATGGTGAACTGGTGTTAGTACCAGCATCGACAGAACTAAGTTAAGTGATAAAAAGCATTAAATAAAATGCGGCAAAGCTGATTCATTGCGTATTTACCGAATTAGGCAGGTCTTGTTGATCGCGAGGACAAGAAAAAGTAGGCGGACCACTGTGTAAAAGGAATCGGCGATAGCAGCGCGCCTAAATGTACCCACACACGTAACGGTTTTGCCGTACGACAGTTATGTCTCGGTTTAAGATTCGTTGCGATGATAGGATGAATGCTAATATAACTAATATATAACAAGTATTTTCATGCCGTTTAAGAGGATTTGAAAGGGAAAGTAGTTAAAAGTCTTAAAGAGTGACAAGCAAAAATGTAAAAATACTATTTTTGTTACCTTCAAATAAATTGCCATAAACTAATATTACTTAGGTTTAATTAAGTGCAAAAAGGATAAAACAGTTCTTTTTACCTTCTTTTCGAACGTCCATTACAGAAAAGGCAAAAGCTTTTATCAAACACTGCACTGTGCACTGTAACATGCACAACTTACTATTTCACAGTATTTTTCTGGTCTCAAATTCATTAGCTCCCCATACACCAAAAGATTTGGCCTGCGGATTTGTTCTTCCGACTTGGTCTCCGGATGAAATCTTTACGTTTGTGGGCCAGACATAGTCTATGGCGGACCAAGCCTGTCACAGGCAAAGTCTGCGGACTTTAACTAAAAAAAAATAGAACGCCACTGATAAACCTAAATTTTCTTCCTTCTTTATATTCAATAAATTATACGAAATACTTAATCAATTATTCGTTACAATCGCCATTATTAAAATATCGAAAAATGTATTTCCTCTATATTTATCGATATCGATATTTTCTATCTAAATACCATTCTTAAGCGATAATGTCTAGTAAAGTCCCTAGATTTAGGGGAATTTTGCACAAAAATAAATAGTTTTCTTCCATCTATCGGTCCTTTTCGATGCTAATATTTAACGATTTGGAGACTTCACCATTTCAAATGCAGGTATCTTTTTTTAATGTTTACAAATTTCTAACCAAACTTTATTTTAAAATCCTCCAGCTGGAAGCAAATTTTTATTTAGAAACTTTGTAATTTTTAATAGAACATTTAACATATATTTACTGTACACATAACAAATTATACAATGAATATTTTAGAGCTATATAGTGGTATTGGGGGCATGCATATGGCCTTTACTGGTAACATATCTTCTAAAAATACAACTAACTTATTTTACTTATTATTTTTGAAGACTTTATTTTCAGAAAGCGGTTTAATAGGTGAAGTTAAAGCAGCAATTGAAATAAATAATGTGGCAAATAGTATATATAAATACAATTTTCCTGACACAACATTACTTAATTTAAACATAGAAGGCCTAAGTGAAAATATAGTAAACAAGTTCAATGTGAACACCGTACTGATGTCTCCTCCTTGCCAACCCTTTACGAGGAACGGGAACAGGAACGATGTTAAGGATTCTAGAACAGACTCTTTTAGACATTTTCTAAGTCTTTTACCCAAATTAAGTAAAATAGAAAATATACTAATTGAAAATGTGAAAGGGTTTGAAGTATCCGAAATGAGAAGTATTTTGGTAAACGTCTTGGAAGAGTGTGATTTTATTTATCAGGAATTTATTTTATCTCCTTCACAATTCGGTATACCAAACTGTCGTCATCGGTATTACTGCCTAGCTAAAAGAAAACCAAACAATTTTAAGTTTAATAGAACATCATCATTGGTAAGATTTAATTTAGTCTATATAGAAAATTATCCCTAAACCTAAGGAAAATTTCCTAGACCTGCCAACTTTTTGTCTTAATATCAATTTCACTTTTTATTACTCATATTTTAGATGGAGGCTTTACCACTACCATCAAGTTTGTCCAAAGAACCAACTAATATTGAAATCAAAGACATATTAGAGGATGAATTAGATTTTGAAACTTACAAACTATCAGACAGTATTTTACTGAAAAGAATTAATATATTGGACATTTGCTATTTGGACTCAAAAATGACTTGTTGTTTTACAAAAGCCTATGGAAGATACATAGGTAATATATAAAAAAACATGTTTTTATTATAATTAAATATACTTATTTACAGAGGGCACTGGAAGTGTGTTTACAAGCATCAATAGAATCGATGTTAAAAATAAATTAGCCCAATTAAAGGAATTACATAATGAAGACGAATATTTGGACCTTGCTCGTTCACTAAAATTAAGATTTTTCACTCCAAAAGAAATATCGAGGTTGATGCAGTTTCCTGAAAAATTCTCTTTCCCTTCTGATATTAGTAATAAACAAAAATACATGGTTCTAGGTAATAGTATAAATGTCAAAGTTGTATCGTATTTAATAAAACTATTAGAAACCTATATGTTTAATTTATTCAGCCAGAATCTTTAGAAATTTTAAGGTAAATTTTTAATAAAAACTGCAGTATTGCTAAATTAAAATATACTTATTTTATTCTTAATATATGAAAATTTGTAGGAATGTATAATACTTTACACCAACGTGCACAAATATAAAAATGTACTGAGCTACATTAACTAAATAAAATTCTGTAAAATAATGCTTTATATAGCGAAAATAGTTCACTGTATTACCTTAAAAACTTAGTTTATATACAAGTTACTCTCTAGTTCAATCATAAAGTTTCTAGTTCAGGGGGAAGAAGGATTTTATTATTAGCTGCAAATCTTTTCAAAGCCTCGTAACGAGTTCTTATTCCAGCCATCTCTTCGTTCATGCTCTGTAACTCATCTCTCATTACCTGTGAGTCTCTCCATTCTTGTGTTTTTTCAACCTCCAGCTCATCTTTTTGTTCAATTCTCTTAATTCGACAGGATGCAGCGTATCCTAATATAAAAATATCACCATAATCTTTTTTTTTTGCTATTAATAAGTACACTAATACCTCTATTTTTCAATGTTCTTCGTCGCTGTTTCATTCTAACAATTTCTTCTCTTGAGAGACCTCTCAATTTTAAGGTCCTGTTGAGATCTCTCACCGAGATTGAGACCAGTTCATCATCAGATATATCAATGATAGGAGGAGGAGATAAAGGTGCCTAAAATAGTAAATAATTATAACATTGGCCTTAAAAATTTGAAAAATCATTTTATAATCTCTCAAAAACAAATAGAATATGTTAATAACTAGGATAAGTGCGAGGTTTCATTGTTCAATGTCACCGAACTGATCCTATGTAATAAAAAGGCAATAATCGAAATAAAAACGATACATACAATTTTACGATCAACTTTCCTCGGTTCTGGACTCATTTTGATACGAAAAAGAATGCTTTTATTAAATAATTATGTAAAAAATTAACAAACAAAACTTTCCTGATAAATGTTTGGTCGACTTGTCAAAAAATGTCCATAGATCAAAGGTATATTTTGAAATGTCAAAATATTAAATATAGGGTTGTTGCAGAAATACCGATAAATCTAAATATCGATAAAATATAATTTTAAGCTATTTTCTGACCTTCAAACAACGTTTTGAATTAATTAAAAAGTAAAATTAGTGACACAAACGTGAGAAAAATACGTAAATATTTGTTTATTTGCCACTTCTATTTAAATTGTACTAGATAATATCTCATGTTGTTTTTTGGTGTATATTTAGCAAGTCTTTTTCAGTAAAGTTTATATATTTCTTTGCCTTTAAACTCAGCACAAGAATTAATTCTGAAAAGTAATGTACAGGGTGTTAATAATCTATTCTATTGCAGCATGTAAATTTAAATATTTTTAAATATCTCAAAAACCAAAGATTTTACAGTATGTCTGCTGGATCTGTGTCTATGAAAGGAATGCGCACAAAAAACATTTAAATAAGCAGCAATATATTTGCTCCGCCCACTCATTTTATTGGCTACTTGCAAATTTGTCGAATTTTTATTGATGGGACTCGTCGTCTAATTTTTTACGAAAAACATCGAGAGAATATATCGTTTCCCCTCTCACGGATACCCCATAGCTACAGAACGGACAGACGTACTGTAAACATACCGTATGATCGAAAAAAAACGGCGTCCAGTTGGCTGGGAAATGACGATCGATGACATTTCCCATATAAATTTATATATAAAATGACAGCGATCTTCATTTCATAGCCATCGCTGACGCCGTTTTTTCTCGATCATACGGTATTTAACCCTAATAATAAATGCCTTTTTTGGACCCAAGAATCCAAAAATGAAATAAAATACCGGGTGTTCCATAAGAAAAAATATAACTTTGGTATGGATCTTAGTTCTGAAACGCCCTGTATATTTCAAAATAATTTTAAATTGTGCACATTGCCTCCCCACATACTCCCACAAAATATTTTGTTTCTACCATCTTTCCGTTTTCGTATAAAAGGGTCGTATAATCAACCGAGTCGAATGAGATGCGCCAGCTTGTATACAGGGTGAGTCTTAAATATGTGCAAGTATTTTTAGGGGTAGTATATTTCGACCCCAGAAATAGGATTACATATGAGGTTTTTTCACCAAAAATTATTTTTTGAAAATTTGGATTTTTTTGAAAAACATTTTGGAAATTTTATGGGAAATTTGTTTAGTTTTTAGTTAAAAAACATAATTTATTGATAATATGGCAACATAGGTAGTAGATTAAATTTATAACAAAGAAATATATAAGAAAGAAAGAAAGAATTCAGAACTCTGAATATTTTGTGCTCATATATTTATTTTTACACTGTAAGTGTATTGAATTTACCATGCCAGAAAAAAATCTAATGAATTTTAATGGACTATATTTACGCAAGGACAAAAAAGAAAACTTGAAGAAAATGGTTTCTATCAAAAATCTAGGGAAAAACAAATTTACTCCGACACCTACGCTAGACGTTTTCTTTTTAGCGAAACCTCCGCATCTTAAAATCTAATTTAGACCCGGCTAGCTCTTCATTTTCGTAAAGTAAAAAATAAAGAAAATTAAATAAGACAATATGAAATGGTGGGTTTGTTTTTTAAGACCTCGTAAAGAGAAGAATGGGAGAAGGAATTCGTGCAGAAACTTAATAAAATAACGTCATTCTCCGTTTCTATCACGTCACGAGCAGGAATTACCTTAAAAAAACAGTGTTGCCAGTAGTAACAATTACTCTTGCAATGTTAGATTTTTCCAGTATCTGTTTTGCAAATCTTTAAATAGAAATATTAGCCCTACAGACAACGATTTGATCGCACAGTCCAAATCTTAAGATCAAATATACAAATTTGCTAAAACAGATATACAAATTTGCCTAACGAACAAAAAAATGCTTAACGTTATTTCGGAAATTTTATCTCTTTCCGTCGTCGTCGGAAGCAAAAAAAAATACATAGAATAAAGCAAAATAAAAACACTAAATCACCACAATACACCAAAACACTTTTACTTTTACACTGGACGCGCGTTTCGCTAACCATGTTAGCATCATCAGCAGATGATTATAAACTAAAGTACAATCTACAAGTTGAGCGTATATATACTCGCTCAGTGGGCACCGAGTGGGCGTGGCAAAATCTAGCCAACCGAGTCAGAGCCCACTGAGCGTAACAGATTTCCGCCACTAGAGTAGTAGGAACAAAGAACTTGAAGGAATTGGACCGTTGTCTCTGTTCATACTCTCTTTACATTTATTAATTCTGATGCTTTCATATGCATCTAATTGCCTGTAATTTGAGACTTGTTTCATTAATTTTAAATTATTAAGATCTATGCAATGTTCTTTATCAACAATATGTTCGGCAACGCAAGATTTATCCGGTCTACCATATCTTATCTGAGCTAAATGTTCTTTAAATCTAGTTAATATTGATCTTCTAGTTTGCCCAACATATTTCTGATTACAATCTTTACAAGAAATTTCATAAATACCCGAGCTTTCCAGTGGAGGTGTTTTATCCTTTAGGTTACCTAATAATTGTTGTAATTTATTATTAGCACTATACACATGTTTATAATTGACATTCTTAAAAATTCCTTTTAGACCACGGGATAACTCTTTATCAAACGGTATCGAAAAATATTGAGACTAGAGATTTCTATATCATATCTTTTTTTTCGGAAAGTGGGAAACTAAGTAATCTATGAACTAAGAAATTTAAACTAGCCATTTTATGTTCAACACTATGATGTGATTCATTAGGAATATATCTGCGTGTGGTCGAATTTTTCCTATAGATATCAAATTCCAGGCAATTATTAGTATTTCTAATAACTAATATATCTAGAAATAGTAATCTGTCGTTGTTCGCAATTTCATGCGTAAATTTAATGGAAGGAAAACGATTATTTAACTTAGAAATAAAATTATCTATGGTGTCTGAATGTGTGCTAAAAACAGCAAAAATATCATCCACATACCTAAACCATACCCTTGGAAAATACTCAAACTGATTCTTAGCTTCCACTTCAAACCTGCTCGAAGTTTCGAGTGGAGAAAGATACGTCTAAATATTTTTCGATAAAGAGTTATCCCGTGGTCTAAAAGGAATTTTTAAGAATGTCAATTATAAACTTGTGTATAGTGCTAATAATAAATTACAACAATTATTAGGTAATCCAAAGGATAAAACACCTCCACTGGAAAGGTCGGGTATTTATTAAATTTCTTGTAAAGATTGTAATCAGAAATATGTTGGGCAAACTAGAAGATCAATATTAACTAGATTTAAAGAACATTTAGCTCAGATAAGATATGGTAGACAGGATAAATCTTGCGTTGCGGAACATATTGTTGATAAAGAACATTGTATAGATCTTATTAATTTAAAATTAATTAAACAAATCTCAAATTACAGGCAATTAGATGCATATGAAAGCATCAGAATTAATAAATGTAAAAAGAGTATGAACAGAGACAACGGTCCAATTCCTTCAAGTTCTTTATTCCTACTACTCTAGTGACGGAAATCTAACTCTTACGTTCAGTGGGCTCTGACTCGGTTGGTTAGATTTTGCCACGCCCACTCGGTGCCCACTGAGCGAGTATATATACGCTCAACTTGTAGATTGTACATTATAATCATCTGCTGATGATGCTAACATGGTTAGCGAAACGCGCGTCCAGTGTAAAAGTAAAAGTGTTTTGGTGTATTGTGGTGATTTAGTGTTTTTATTTATTTTTTTTTACCCATATATATATATATATATATTTTTTTTTACCCATATATGTTTGTTTACCCATATAGGATTTTTTGGGGAGATGAATCCGCCACATAGGTATAGACATTTTTTAATAACATTTCATTTTCCCTCGTATAACACGGACGGGAACTTTAATTTTTAAATTGAAAAGAGGCTAAAAAGTCAAATAATTTAGCTACAAATTCCTTAAAAAATCATCAAAATCGGTCCAGTAGGAGAAAATATATTGAACTTTAACTTACATGAAAATTTTCAGGTGTCCATTTTTCATACTGGTCAGTGTATAACACCGAATAAAATTAAATCTGGCAACGTTGCAACGCTCACTCCTGCGGCAGCAGGAACAACTGATTTTTAGTTTGTTTTGTGGACAGTTTTCGCTTCGCAGGAAAGCTGCCAGTTTGTGGTTATGTCTAGATAAAATATTGATATTATTGTTTATTTCGTTTATTTTCAATTAATATGTCACCTATTTTAACCAGGTTTTTGGCTGTGATATTTGTTGTTAACGTACATTGTGCTAGTGAATTGAAAAGACGACAGGTAAAGTAGGACAAAACAATATTGTTTTAAAATTTCACATTGTTTTTTTTACAAGGACAATATTTATTACAAAATTAAAATGTGTACTCTGTCATAACTAAAATGATTTTAATTTATTGGTTGTATTTTTATTAAGGCATTTAAATAAAATTAAAGGAATTATGTTGTAGGAAAATAAAATTATATGGTTTTATTAAGGACGATATTAACAGAAATTAAATTTTCTATATTATTTTTTAGGACCTAATTTAGATACAGATTTGAATTTGAATATTTTAAGTCGAGGCAAAGAATATTATATAATTGTCAAGGTATTTTCCGGGTGTAGGTAGTTATCTTTATTTTCAACTTTCTGGCACTTCCGGTTTAACCAAAAAATGGCGTTTATTTGCTAATTTTAAATGGAGCACCCCCTATATTTCTCGATTTTTTAATTCTACATGCAATTCTATTTTATGTATAAAATTATATACCTAAGTTGATTAGTTTCTGAAATAATTCCAATTTATGTCAAAAAAGACATTTGCAGAGCAAATGAAAACTGAATATTTTTCAGCGTCAGTACATATATTTTTTATAAATTTTTGTTACTTCTTTCTGGTGTCTTTCAGAACTTGTCTTACACTGCTTAAATTTTTATAAAAATTCATCTAATACACTACTCAAAACAATTATCGCATATTTGAATAAAAATAATTATTACATATTTCTAAATGAATCATATATTTTTCTGCCTTTCTCTTGTGAGTTTTTAGGGTACGCACTGACTACTGACATGTAATTTTTAGTCGCCCGATTATTTAGTTTAGCAAAAGTGAAAACAATACATTCTTATGGAATTACATTGCGTAGCCTAGGCTATGCGCTGACAGGCAATTTTTAATCGGCAGTTTTTAGTTGCATCTGTCTAACCAATATATTCTTATGGAGCCGCACTCACATGCAATCAAATAGTCAGCCGATCGACTTCATAAGCATAAGTATGTATTGTTTCCACTATTTTTAATAGTTTGCGATTTATTCCCATTTTTTCTATTTTTACCCATATTTTCAATACAATTAGCCTATAAAATCATAGTTGCCATGACAAAACAAAACTATTTATTACTTACCTTTAACAAGTAGCTTCATAATTAGTTACAATTGCTGGTATTAGTTAAAGTTAATTAACTTTACTCAAATAAACTAAATCGCAGTAGTGAATTTCTTGGTGTATTTCTATATTATGAAAAATGACACTTGGGATTTTTCGTCGGGCGAATAGCCACAGATTAGGGTAATACTAGATTACCTAATTGCTGAAGACTACTGATGAATTTTCTTCAATATACAGTAAAGTTTTTTCTCGTAGTAATTCTGGTTTATAATTCATTTGGTAAAGCCAATATTACTACTGCCGCGAAACCGTCCCATTACACACTGAAGATGTTTTCTAGATAATATACATCTATTCTTATAGTACTTAGCAAAGTACTATATAATATATAGTACTATATAATATATAGTACTGAACCAAAAAATGTAGTTTTCTAAGCTTGTCCGTGTATATCAATCACATTGACTAATTCATTTCAAGAAAATCTGTAACTATTATCTCTACCATTTATACTTATTACAACAAATAAAACTACAATTCAAATTTTGTTCTTAACTTGCTTAACAGACATGAAATTGTGATAATTATTACTTTTTGTCATGGCAACTATGATGTTATTGTATTAAAAATATGGGTAAAAATTGGAATAAATCGCAAACTAATAAAAATAGGTATATGACATTCTTAATAAAAGTTGAAGAGTTTGGTAAAATCTGTCAGAAAAAATGATAATATATAGGGTATACCATTTAAAAAAATTGAAATTCCTTAATTTTAAGTAGTTGAAATTCCTAAATATATTTTGAACACCTTGTAACATCTAACTAAAATATCTTTACATAGGTCTTTTTCTATATCTCTATAAAATTCTCCTACCAAATTTTAGTTGTCCAACTTCAGAATCAATGCCATCATTGACAATTTTTTAACCCACTGCATTCTAACATTTGTTTAAACAAATTTAAATATAACAAAAACTATTAATTTTAGGTATATAACGTTATATATAAAAAAGTTATGGAATTTTACGCGGAATCTAAAAATAAAATAAAAAATAGTGTGTTGCATTTAAAAAAAAACATATGTTATATTCGCCACACTTTTTGGAAGCACCCTGTATACTGTATAATAATTTTAAAATATGTATCTTAACCATCTCTATAACTTTTATATTTAATATTTTTTTGTAAACCTCGAAACGAATGAGATAATGGACTTTACTCTATCGTTGACTCACCCTGTACAAGGAGAATGTAAAATGTTTATAATCTTTTAGCTAAATCACACTCCACAACAACTCTCTAATGGCGAATACAAATACTTAGCAGGTCTATCCAACGTGAAGTACTTCAATGAAGTCCTAGACAATATACTTGTTCCTAGAGTAGTAGGCAGCAAAAACCACGAAAAAGTATTCAAATACATCTCAACGGAGTTGAGAAAGTTAGGCTGGGATGTAGAAGTAGATGAGTTTCAAGATACGGCACCCAATTTTGGTCGGTTGACGTTTAAAAATATCGTTGGTACTCTAAACCCAGATGCTGACAGGTTTTTGGTGTTAGCCTGTCACTACGATAGCAAATATTTCAAAAATGAAGTATTCGTAGGTAAGTTAACTTAGATGTAGATTGTATGGGAAGGGGAAAATGAATGGTTGTCTTCTCGGCGCACTCAGTAATGAGATGTTCTAGTGTTTCCCTATTTTCTCCACAGAATCTGCATTCGCCGTTGTATCTTAAGACAGACTCTTACGACTCATCTACTTGGAAAGTACGCTGATATTTGAGTACTTGGCAAGTATTCCCACTTTATAAACAACATTGGCAAGTATGGCGCTCACATGACGCGACGTGCCCATTTTAACAAGTACGCCAGCACAAACATTGTTTAAATCCTTGGCAAGTAAACAGTATAGTCGCATCCATGGATACCGGTCGTCCCGAAATTGTCGTTGCTAATGGTTCTTTTTTCTTTTTAAGCTCTTTTACTGTACAGGGTGGGTCAAATTCGACGCTTTTAAATGGAAACACCCTTTTCTATAGGAGATAGACGAAAACTAATATCGGTGTCTGAAGCTCAATTTTCATCAAAAATATGATGGTGAAAACCGCATATCAATATCTGTTACCGTTTCGGAGTTACGGGGTGTTTTTCAAAAATGTGCATTTTTAACAAATCGCTGTAACTTTTTTGTTATGGAAAATGTTGTATTTCTATGAAAATATTGCCAAAGCACCTTTTTACGTAGAATTTAATGGTTTAAGTATAATTTTTTTAACATTAATAATTTAAGAGTTATCAACAGAAAAATTGATTTTTTATTTGGGACACCCTCTATATTTTTAATTAACTGAAAAGAATTTAAAATTACCTTTCCAAAAATATAGCACACTTGATATTTTGTTATAATCCCCTTCGAAATACAGAGTTTTTAAAAGTTCGCCACTTTTAATTAGTAGGCTTTGAACCCCTTATTGATGATATGCCCTTAATGGAACTCGAAAACATATTTTTCCAGCAAGACGACGCACCGCCTCTGAACGCTAAAGTTATTAGCAAATTTTTGCGGCCAAATTCAAGAATAATTGGATAGCTAACCAAGATCCCAGCCGTTGGCCGTCGAGGCCGCCTGACTTAGAGCCCATGGATCTAATCCTATGGATATATTTGCGAATAAAGGTTCTTTATTCATCCGTATAATCTAGACAAGAATTAAAAATACTTAGCAGTTATGAAAGGGTATCTTTCACCCCCAGTGAGTTAATGAATTCCGCGAGGAATGTTCAAAAACTGCCCCGTCTGTCCATAACAGATATAAGGTTAATATGTCGAACACCTGTAGCAAAATCTCATGTCTTGGTTTGCTATTTATTTTTATTGTTATTAGATATAGTTTAAATGTGTTGATGTTGGTTAAATATATTTTAAATTATTATAAAATTCTGCACCTCTCATAGCAAATATTATTTTCGTTTTAATTGATGCTCACAGCTAGAATTTTTTTACTTATTCACTACCCTACTTATTTAAAGCAGGCGACTTTTTATATACTCTATATCTCGAAGAGGAATCGAGCAAAATATCAAGTATGTTATATTTTTGGAAAGGTAATTTTAAATCCTTTTCAATAAATTAAAAATATACAGGGTGTCCCATATAAAAAATCAAATTTTCTTTTGATAATTCTTAAATTATTAATTTTAAAAAAAATATACTTAAACCATTAAATTCTACGTAAAAAGGTGCTTTGGAAATGTTTTCATAAAAATACAAAATTTTCCATAACAAAAAAGTTACAGCGATTTGTTAAAAATGCACATTTTTGAAAAACACCCCGTAACTCCGAAACGGTAACAGATATTGATATGCGGTTTTCACCATCATATTTTTGATGAAAATTGAGCTCCAGACACCGATATTAGTTTTCGTCTATCTCCTATAGAGAAGGGTGTTTCCATTTAAAAGCGTCGAATTTGACCCACCCTGTACACTGTAATACGATTTCTAGGTTCTTTATGTTTGGCCATAATCCATAGGGCTCATTTTCGTATAAATCCATAAATTCCAAAACAACATCGTTTGAAGACTACACGGCAAAAACCAGCTTTATCAATTTTAATTGGAGCCGGAAAAAATGCAATTCAGTGTTTTTAAAGAAATATCAAATTAAAAACACTAAATCACCACAATACACCAAAACACTTTTACTTTTACACTGGACGCGCGTTTCGCTAACCATGTTAGCATCATCAGCAGATGATTATAAACTAAAGTACAATCTACAAGTTGAGCGTTTATATACTCGCCCGTGGCAAAATCTAGCCAACCGAGTCAGAACCCACTGAGCGTAACAGTTAGATTTCCGCCACTAGAGTAGTAGGAACAAAGAACTTGAAGGAATTGGACCGTTGTCTCTGTTCATACCATCTTTACATTTATTAATTCTGATGCTTTCATATGCATCTAATTGCCTGTAATTTGAGACTTGTTTAATTAATTTTAAATTATTAAGATCTATACAATGTTCTTTATCAACAATATGTTCGGCAACGCAAGATTTATCCGGTCTACCATATCTTATCTGAGCTAAATGTTCTTTAAATCTAGTTAATATTGATTTTCTAGTTTGCCCAACATATTTCTGATTACAATCTTTACAAGAAATTTCATAAATACCCGACCTTTCCAGTGGAGGTGTTTTATCCTTTGGATTACCTAATAATTGTTGTAATTTATTATTAGCACTATACACAAGTTTATAATTTACATTCTTCAAAATTCCTTTTAGACCACGGGATAACTCTCTATCAAACGGCATCGAAAAATATTTAGACGTGTCTTTCTCCACTTGAAAAGTCGAATTTTCAGAAATCATTAACCTATACCTACGTTTTCTAATTAATTTATCAACTAGTGAAGGAGAATATCCATTACACTCAGCTACATTCCTAATGTAATCTCTTTCTATTTCATATCTTTCTTTGGAAAGTGGGAAACTAAGTTATCTATGAACTAGGAAATTTAAACTAGCCATTTTATGTTCAACACTATGATGTGATTCATTAGGAATATATCTGCGTGTGGTCGTATTTTTCCTATAGATATTAAATTCCAGGCAATTATTAGTATTTCTAATAACTAATACATCTAGAAATGGTAATCTGTCGTTGTTATCAATTTCATGCGTAAATTTAATGGAAGGAAAACGATTATTTAACTTAGAAATAAAATTATCTATGGTGTCTGAATGTGTGTCAAAAACAGCAAAAATATCATCCACATACCTAAACTATACTCTTGGAAAATAGTCAAACTGATTCTTAGCCTCCACTTCAAACCTGCTCATGAATAAATTAGCCAAAAATGGAAACAATGGATACCCATTGCTGTACCTTCCCGCTGTTCAAAAAAGTTGTTATTAAATTGAAAACAATTTTGTTTCATACATAACGATGTAAGCTCAATATATTCAGTCACAGTTTTGTTGTCGGGACCATTTGCGTTCAATAATTCCTTCAAGTAGCCTAAAGTATGTGGAATTGGCACACTTGGGAACAACGAAGATACATCAAAGGAGACCAAAATTTCACCTTCATGCAATGTTATATCTTTAATTTTGTTAATGAATTCAATATTATTTTTACTTGCGAAAGAAGGTTCATGATCAGGTAAATTTTCGAACTCTCATGATAACCATTTTGCCAAATTATAAGTCGGAGAACCTACAGCCGAAACAATTGGGCGCATAGACTTGTCCGGTTTATGAATTTTTGGGAAAGCATATAATTTTGGTAATGAGGGATTGGATACTTGCAATTTCCTCTTTAAAGAAATATGTTACTATAATATATGGTTGAATAATTAGAAACTTGGTAAAGCTAAGTGGGTAGCTATGAATACCTATAGTTTGCAATAAAAGTTTTTCGAAAATCGTCACCATATTTAGGTGCAATCGTTACCTCATTTTATCAGAAATACCCTGTATATTGTTAATACTAATAAGCACTAGAAATTATCACAACAGCTAAAATAATAAATAACTGTTAAAAAATATCAAGTAATTGTTATTTATATCTAATAATAAAAAAATATTAAATTTTAGGCAAATGTTTTCTCTCCTCTCAGCATTCATCAGCATCATGTCATTTCGTGTAGGCATTTTAAAATTGTTAATTTATATTCCATTTGCAAAATATGTGATAATCTGTACTGTAAATATTTATTGCAAAACTGACTTTGACTTACTTCTAAAACATCTGAAATATGAAGTCGCGGGCCCGTGTTCAAATATTTTTTTGGCCCCTTGCGCCCTCAACAAATAATAATTTTGTTCTAATTTTTTAATAAGAAGAGAATGTTTATTATATTATAACATATAGGTAAACATAAAACATATAGGTAAAAATGACATGCACACTAAATATAAACATATTTTGGAAATTTTACTGATATGTCTTCATGATATTTCTTCTGAAGCATCTTTTCTTCCTGTCCCAATCCTGCATCGGAATAGTTTGAAAGTACATATTTCGTTAAAATTTTAAAGTTACTTTCCACTTCCTATAGACCGGAAAATCTCCTGTTAATTTAAAAATTTTAAGTTTATAAGAATATATACCGGGTGCGTCTCAAAAGTGGTTCACCCCTACAACTTTTTTATTTTTTCAGTTAAAAAAATGAGGTTTGGTATGTTAGGATATGACATAAATTAGGATTGATTGAGGTATTCAATTGTTTTCGGTCACTTCCTGTTTCACCGGAAATTACTAAAGCTTTTAATTTTTAAAGGGCACCCTCAGTATTTTTTTACTTTATTCGATAGAAAATAACACTCTGAATAGAATGACATATCATATGTCAACTTTTGACATTTTCGCGTATGGTTTATTTGAAATGTTGTAACTTGCGGTTCGTAACGAAAATTTGACTCGAAATACCAAGTGTGTGGTATCAAATTATTCGTAAAAAATGCTTTTTCCAAATATGCTAATGAGCCACCCTTGTTCTATTTTAAAAAAACTGAAATGTGATCAAAAATACGATTTTTAGTGTCTTGGCCAGGACAAGACACTAGAAACATTGGGCGTCCAAGCTATTTTTCCAAGGCTCCTTGATTAAGAATTATACTGTTTAACATAGCCATGGCAGTCTAGATTGAAATTTAAAATAATATGTCATTCTATTCAGAATGCCATTTTCTATCGAATAAAGTAAAAAAATACGAGGGTGCCATTTAAAAATCAAAAGTTTTAGTCATTTCCGGTGAAACAGGAAGTGACCAAAAACAATTGAATACGTCAATCAATCCTAATTTATGTCATATACTAACATACCAAATCTCGTTTTTTATCTGAAAAAATAAAAAAGTTATACTTAGGGGTGAGCCACTTTTGAGACGCACCCGGTATACGTACTCAACACCTCGTAATAAAATTTACATAAATTTGTTTCAAAAATCAAAAAAGTTACTAATTTCAGAGACACTTCCTGCTATTTGAAACCAAATTAAGATTCTGAGCAGCACAATATTTTTTATGTAGTAAGAAGTAAGAAGTAAGGAAATTAACAAAAATACAGTTTTATAATCCATTTAGTATAATGTCGCACAGTTAGAATAACGAAAATATTAACATACTAGTTGAAGCCTGGCGCATCCGTCACGACAGGAAAAAAAATACTTTTTATTTTTTTTAACTAAATGAAAAACAAAAGATCCGGCGACGACAGTTTTTAGAAGAGCCAATTAGCTATATTTTAGTAAAAAAGCAGCTTTCTAGAGCAAGTCGTTACTTCAGTAGAGACGACACAGATAAACATTAGCATTTTATATATGTAGATATGTAGTTGTCGCAAATCTCTACTCTTTGGTTGTAGTTCGTATTTTACAGTAAATATATTGTTCAATCTGGATTTGTAGGGTTTGCAACAGACCTCCCGCGGGCCCAGGTCCGTTTTCCATTAAACACGTTTGAACACCGGTAGTTACGCCACGTGCCATATAAAAACAACTTTTTTTGACATTTTTAATTTTTTTTGTATGATAGATCATAATAATTTGTTCTTTTCAGGTGCAATTGACTCCGCAGTACCCTGCGCAATGATGCTCAATCTGGCGAAAGTACTCAAAAAAGACCTGGATGTGTTTAAATCTAATTCAGATTTAAGCCTAAAACTGGTGTTCTTTGATGGAGAGGAAGCTTTCGAGAATTGGGGCCCCAAAGACTCTATCTACGGAGCTCGACATTTGGCCAAAAAATACTCACAGTCTAAGACAGTGGTGCGATCTACCGGTGAAAACGTTTCAGAGATACAAAAGATCGACATGCTAGTTTTGTTGGATTTGCTGGGCTTTAGCAACATGAATTTCTACAACTTCTTCAGAGAAACTGGACAGTGGTAAGAGAAATATGTTTAAATTAGCAAAAAGGTTCACTAAACATATACAGGGCGAGTCTTAAATAAGTGCAAATATATTTAAGGGTAGTATATTTAAACCTATTACAACTATGATGTTTTTTTCGCGAAAAAAAATTGAAAATATGGACTTTTTTTAGAATTTTTTTTTAATTTTTAGAGGGTAGACTAAATTTACAAGAAAGAATACCCAGAAAAGATACAGTGGTTCTTAAAATTTAAACGAAAAATCATTATTTTGTTAATTTTCAAAGTAAAATATTAACCGACATATTTTTTGGACTTATTTGAAAAACGGTAAAGAGAAAATATGTTTCTTTTATCGAGATTTACCAGCTTTGTAAATGTTTGCACTTATTTAACACTCACTCTGTATATTTATGTAGTCTTTAAATACGGCTTTTTTATATTTCTGCTTTTTACAGGCACACAAAAATGGCGGATATCGAGGACAAGCTTCACCAATTAAACTTATTAAATCAGAAATCATCAAGATACTTTATCAGAACCAACTTTTTTAATGGTCGTATAGAGGATGATCACATACCTTTCTTAAAAAGAAGTAAGTATATTATTATAGGGATTATAGTTAAAGAATAAATAAAACACTTTCTTCTTTGGCAGCTTCTTATAATAGGTATACTAACAATTGGGGTGCAAGGGGTAGTGAAGCGATACATATAGACTACTTTACCCAAAAGTCAATCTCACCTTCACGCGGTGCACCCTGTTTACACAAACGAGGCTCTGACGTCCGAGTATAGGCGGTATAACCTTTTACAATCCTCAGACCTACCATCTTTCTGGGGAAGAGGAGTAGTGGAGTAGTAAACTACTCCTAGCCGGCCGAGAACGTAGCTCAAGGGAACTATTGTCGCGGTCCTCTTACTTATAGTGTGACCAACGGATCTGTAGCTACGGGGTATCGGCAGGGGAACGCAGTTGTAAACAAAACACGCCCAATTTCATTCATAAAATAGGCATGGGCGTACGGTGTTATATGAAAATAATGTGTATCATAAATATAATACTCAGATTAATAATTTTTTTCAAAAAACTTTATGCTGTTTGAATCGTTACTGTTGAGTTAGCAGATAAACACTAGAAGCTTTTATTAAAGCTCCCTTAAATATTTTGAATCATTTTATTATTGTGTTGTTAATATAATAGAAGAAATAATTACAGCTGGGGGTTGGAACCTTTGGTGTTACACACCAAAATAAAACACTAAATCAGTACAATACACCAAAACACTTTTAATTTTACACTGGACGCACGTTTCGCTAACCATGTCTGCCATCAGCAGATGATCAAGACTGAGTCTTGAGGTATATTTATTTATATATCTGTACTAACTATATTTTTTTCTATAATACATAATAGATATAACTATTTCCAACAAAAAAATCTTGAAAATAGTTAACTTTGGAAGCGCAAACAAAACATAATTTTACTCACCAATAGATCCAATATTGCCTATTACACCAGATATGGTATCGCTCCGCCAGCAGTTTTTAAAGGTTAGGTCATTGTCTATGTGTTTCATCCAAATAGATAATACCGTATGATCGAATAAAAACGGCGTCAACGATGGCTATGAAATGAAGATCGCTGTCATTTTATATGTAAAATTATATGGGAAATGTCATCGATCGTCATTTCCAAGCCAACTGGACGCCGTTTTTTTTCGATCATACGGTACTTGGCTATATTCTCGAATTTCGCGTATATATTTATATCTCTCTCTGCAATATAATGGGCCGCTCCATTAATATTTATCAGTTATTTTGACATTTACGCCAAAAAAATTCATTTGATTTTAATAACCCCTTAAGCGTTTCCCTGCAAAAGGAAAATTCGATTCTTCCTGCAATTTTTGCAAAAGCTTTCTAATTGTGGGGACGAGTTTGAAGAAATATCCGCTCAAGTTTACGTTTAAACGGCAACTTAAGCGAACTCTCTGTAGCTTCATCGCAAACCCTATTATGAACACAATGAAATAAACCAAATGAGATTTCATCCACGTTATTATTAACTTACCTATACAAATTAGCTATTATTTCTCTTGTCTGACTATGTAGTGTCTTACCCTTAACAAATTTATTCATTTTAAAACACAAATATACGATCAAATTTGATATTAATAATTAAAAACTACGAACGAAAAACATTATAACAAGATAACAAAACAATAAAACACAACTTAACTATCAAATATACGAAAAATTTAGGAATAAAGTTTAGGATAACCGGTATAAAATAATGAAATAAAGTAATAATGATCAAAAAAATGACACCGCCACTGGATATTTCAATAGTATTCAATATTCCTACTCTTTTCAGAAGAGACCGTGAAGTTGGGGATAAAGCAAGCGAATAGGAAAGGCGTAAAAGCCATGGCAACTGCCTGGTAACAAATCCTGTGACATACTCTCGCCAATCATGTTCGATGAATAGGCGGCCATGCGCGGCGGTGCCGGTTTGCCAATGATATCGTTGAAAAATTTTCAACTTTCATAATAAGCAGATTATACAGAATGAAAGAAATAAGTTATTAAATAAAATATATCGAAAAATATGAACTATGTTAAAATTCCTTAGTAATATACGTCAGAATATATGCTAAACACATTATATATAATAAAAATATATTAAATTTATAGTTCATGTCTGGCAATTTTACAATTTTATAGATAAACGTGGCAATATCGATTTTTTTTTCTCGCATTCCTTCCGTAGCTTCAGATCCGCTGGTCAAACAGTACTGTGCCATAGTCATCCCGTGCTACAGTTGCAGCCAAAACTGTGCGGCAGCGTAACCGTTACAGTTTAACCTTTTCACGCAGCTAACACACAACAATGATGGAACATTCGAGTGGGACACAATCATCATCCGGAGGTAAAATACCCCCTCAATCGGATCTCCGGGAGGGGGTGCCTACTCGAGCGTATCATCGGAGAAACAAAAAACATCAATGTTTCACGTTTGCGGCGTGGAACGTCCGCACTCTACTGGACAAGATAAATTCAAATCGACCAGAGAGAAGAACAGCACTGGTCTCTCAGGAACTCCACCGACTAAATATAGATGTTGCCGCTCTTAGCGAAACCCGCTTCGCGGATGAGGGTAGTCTCACTGGGGAGCATTACACCTTCTTTTGGAAAGGTCACCCCGCAACACACAGGAGAATTCATGGCGTAGGCATTGCAATCAAAAACAAAATCGCCACTAAATTAACAGAAGTACCTATTGGTGTCTCCGAACGTCTTATGACCCTAAGGTACCCCATATGAGATAAATCTTAGGGCAACACCATTAGTGCCTACGCTCCCACCCTAGACGCTAAAATTGAGGAAAAGGATAAATTTTACCAAGCCCTACAAAATGCTCTCCAACGAATTCCAAAGCACGAACGAATCATTTTGCTAGGTGACTTTAATGCTCGTATCGGTAGACAACACGAACTATGGCCTGACGTATTGGGAAAACATGGAATAGGAAACGTAAATAGCAATGGTGAACGCTTATTAACAACATGCACAGAGGATAATCTATGCATCACCAACACGTGGTTCATGTTGAAGGACAAGTTTAAAGGTACCTGGAAACATCCCAGATCAGGTCACTGGCATCAATTGGACCACGTAATCGTTCGAAGGACGCATCTAAAAGATGTCAGACTCACAAAAGCCAGAATAGATGCCGAATGCGGCACTGACCACCGACTTTTAATTTCAAAAATTAAAATCCAGTTAAAACCCAAACATCCACACTGTAAAAAGCAAAATAACATGACGATTGAACGTACGGGGTCTAGAGACAAAAAATACCGCCGTCCCCCTCCGGGAAGCCATCAAAGAATCACTTCCACCGATAACTTCAATCTCAATCTTGGAAGCTGAACAAGGCTGGACACAATTAAGGGATGCGATTCATAAAACTAGCGAAGCAGTACTGGGCAAGTCCAACAAAAAGAAACAACCAGATTGGTTTAACGAAAATCAACCTCGTATACAGACCTTCTTGGAACAAAAGCACAGAGCGCATCAAGCAGTTACTGCAGATCCACACAATCCAAGGCTGGTAGACAACTTTAAAGCAGCCAACAACGCGCTTCGAAGAAATCTGCGCTAAGTAAACCACCTGCGCTTTGGTGGTCACCAAAGGCTAATCAGATTCAAGAGTACGCCACGCATCACGATTATGGTAAATTCTTTGAGGCTGTTAAAGAAGTATACGGCCCAACCAGGAAGGTAAGCTGTCCAATCATGGCACAAAATGGCGAACTTCTAAAAGAGGAAGAGCAAATTAGAAACCGCTGGAAAGAGCATTACAGCCATATCCTTAACCAAGAAAACAACCCCAATATGGAAGCACTAAACACAATACCTCAGTATAACAGCCTCGATGTATTAGATACTAAGGGATGCGCCTACAATAACGGAAGGTACCTACAATAACCTACCTACAATAACGGAAGATACTAAGGGATGCCCCTACAATAACAGAACAGGAAATAATGTCATCCATAAAACAGCTTAAAAACAACAAATCAGCTGGCTGTGGCGCGATCCCGGCGGAAATCTATAAGTGTGCAAGTAAAGAACTTTTTGGTTATCTTAAGGCTCTCTTCGATGTCATATGGGAAAGCGGAGAGGTACCTCAGGACTTTTGCAACGCGAATATAGTGAATATATTTAAGAACAAAGGAAGTGCACCAGACTGCGGAAATTACCGGGGAATTTCACTATTGGCTATCGGAGGAAAAATTCTTGCAAAAATTATGTCAAATCACCTTCACCCTCACAGTTCTTAATTTATTCATCTTTATGTCAAAGAACATGTAAATAACCATTAATATTTAACATACAATGCATTCACCAACTAATATAGAATCATATCCATTCTCTCTGATGTAGGATAAGTTTGCATTTTCGGCAAATTTCTGAGAATTTTTTTTTGTTGTAAATGACACAAAATGCATGATGGTTGGTAGTTAAAGCTAGTTGTTAAAGTTGGACTAATTAGACAGCTATGTTGAAGTAACGTCAGACATATCACAGCCAGCTAGATTTTATCAAATAATAAAGATCTACTCAGATCAAATCATATAAATGAAAATATCTAGGAAAATCTTTGTTTGAGGGGTAGGCAACATTAATAGTATTTTGAAGAGACATGAATTCTCCATTGAATATCGGAATAATATACTGGGTGTTCCATTTAAAATAAAAGAGTAACATGCTTTTAAAGGTGACCAATGTTCAATATTAATTTGGTTTCATCCTGTAGAACTTTTTGGATGGATTGGAAGTTTTAATTTGATTTAAAGTACAATAGTTAATTTAACTATATATTAGGCTATACCGGGTTAATTCCAATTTAGGTAGGTTTTATTGTAATTTAAAAATTGTTCTTTATTTCTAGAAAATGTTAAATATGTCAAAAACCTTACATTTTAGTCATATACTTCTCTTATAAAACTCACCTTTATTTTTCTCCCCGAATCCTAAAATCAATTAATATATATAGGGTGTTCCTATATTACAACCTAATCATTACAAAAAACACAACGTTGATATGTAACTTTTTTTGGGGACACCCTGTAGAACTCTCTATATTTTTAAAAAATGTTTTGGTTTAATTTTTACTACCCGATCAACTGAAATGCACCAAGCCCATAAAATGGACATTGTTGTTTTTTCCCCTTACTCTTCAAGTTATTTTTATTCAATATAGTTCAGACTACTCTATCGTACTTTGCGCTACGTTAACCTTTTTTTTTGATATTATTTGTACAATAATTTTATTACGTTTATTTGTTACAGATGTTCCAATTTTACATTTGATTCCTATGCCATTTCCGAAAGAATGGCACACACCAATGGATAACAGAAACATCATAGACATAAACGCCGTGGAGGATATGGACAAAATCCTGAGGATATTCCTTGTTGAATATCTCCATATGTCAGTAAACCAATAGTTTCTTCTTAATTTTCTGTAATGTGATAACGTCAAAGATCTGATTTTTTTCTTATATGTGTTTACGTCTCGTATATGTTGATTTTTAAGAATATTTTTTTAACATATTGCTGTTTATTGTATTACTGTAGTTACCTGTCAGAAACGCAAGAAGAGAGCAGGCCCGAAAAAGAGTTATAACTGAAGCAAATCAAGGCTTCCTTCTTCCCTTACCTCAAACATTCCAAAATATAGTCTATTTTTTATATTATCGATGTAAATAAGAATTCTGTTTTGTTATGTTTAAAAAAGTTAGGTTAATTTATAATTTTACTCTTTCCGAGTTATTAAGATATTTTAGACCAATATGGAACAGCTGAAAAAACAAGTGTATTTTTATCCACCTGGTAAACTTTATTTTTTAAAAACCTTTTATGTGTGTACTTGAATTAGATAAAATTAAAAATTATTGTACTTACCTGTAAAAAATAAAATGCTTAGGAATTTGTTTTATTTTTTTTCCTTCAGATCCTATATTAGTGATGAGCAAAGCAAGACTAACGGCCGTATTCATAGTCGAGCGCCAGCCCCCCGCCGAAAAGAAGCGCTCGCCGAAGATTTCTTCGGCGAGCGCTTCGATATTGGGAGAGAAAAAAAGCTCTTTCATAGTCGGCCGCCAGCGCACCGCTGGCTGGCGAAAATGACGGCGCGTCGCCGACAAAATTTCACTTCGGGTGGAGGGTTTTAACAACAGGGAACATGTTTTCTTCCTTTTTCTACACAAAATCGGTTATACGAACTTTAACATTCTCTAAATATTTAAATATTAATAATTAAATATTTTATTGATATTGGGTAATTTAAATATTTTATTGATGTGTCTATTATTTTGTTATAATTCGTTTTAAAGTAATGAATAATATCTTCGTAATCCTTCACTTATAGTAAAAAGATTTACAATTTTTTATATACATATTTTTTTGGCTAGGTATATTTTTGGGTCATAATAAAAAGGATTTTAAGTTAATAATTTACATAATGGGGAATTCCATAGGTCTGTTCGGTTATTTGAAAGTTTTATGGATTCGTTTTTATTACGTTTATAAATTTTTATAGACCTTAACCTATTGATGCTGTGTTAAGGATTTTAAAATTATTTTAAGGGAAAATATGACCAGAGTAGAAGTAATCTATATTTTTAAATTGGCTCTATTTTTGTTTTGTGTAGATGACTGATGTTTTGTGAATTTGGTATATTTTTTCCAGTTTGTGTAAATTACAAAGAGAATTAATGTAATAAACGTAAAAACAATAGGAAAAATAAAAAATCATAAACATAACAAAACAAAACGATAAAACATTTAAATGGTCAAATAGACGGACGGAATTCATATGCCTCAAATGTAATGAGTAATGGCCTCAAAAATACGAATGTCATCGTTCTCGTTAACCGTCACAATATTATAAATATCCATAATTAATTCATTGCTTGGTGCTTCTTTCAACTAGAGAAATAAACCAGACTAAACTGGCGGGCCGCCCGGAGATGGTAAGGACATGCTCCAGTCGCCGGCCGAAAATCACCGGATGGGGTTTAAACTGCGCAAGTGTTCTTCGCCTGGAGATCGACTATGAAACGGAAAAAAAATGCATATCCAACCGCCCCACGGTGGAAAGACACAATATAAAACGTTGGACATTGACTTAAAAATAAAATTTTAAATTAAATAATTTTGGTAGAAGATTTTAATTGCTTAAAGTCCAGACCGTTATATTTTATCCAACTCAAAAAAATATTTTTAATGTCTGTTTGAAAAGTTTCAAATGAAGATATTACACTGACTTAATTATGGTATTCATTTCTTGTGAAACAACCTAGTTTTATAAAAAGTGGCAAAGACATTAATAATTTTTTTAACCATACATATATTAGTGCAAACGATTGTTTTCACTTTAAAATAAAAGATATATATTGTCACAAAAGTTTGGGAGAACAATTATTGTATATAAGAGACACATAAACATTTTTTTGCTACTAAATACTAGATTTAGTAGCAAAAAAATATGTAATAATAGAAAAAACAAAAAAATGGCCAAAGTTGGCCAATACTTTATATATGTCACAAGGTAGATTAAGCCTTTCTAATAACGAAACTAATTTAATATCTTGCCCCAGCTTGCCCCCCTCTAAAAATTTCCATTTAATACATTACTAATACATGCTATACTAAAATCAAAAACCTTTTCAATTCCAATAAATCAAATTATCTTTATCAAGAGTCAAATTATCTTATTTTTTTATAAATTTATTAATATTTAATTATTAATTGGATAAATACAAAATGACGCTTAAATCAAAAACAGATACAGGGTGCTACAAATATATGGAAAACTTATAAACTATTGGAAAAAGAAAAAGGGTTAAAGTGCAGCGTTGAGCTTTTTTGTTTGTGTTAAAAATATTCTAGTGCGTAGATTTACTGTTATATTCTTTGCTTATAATAAAGTTAGTGTACAGGGTGTCCCACTAAGAATAGCCTCTCGGCTATATCTCGGAAAGTATTAGCCGTGAGGCCTGCGGAAAAAAAATATTCATAACTAAAGAGGCTATGAGAAGTTGCTGGAAATTATTTTCAAGTTTGTAGAATGGCCGCTAGAGGGCGCAACTGCTATAGAAAAATAAGAAAATGGAGTTTTTACACAATTTTGCCTAGATAAGTGGTACTATAAATAATAGCTTCATAATCTTCAGTAAATTCTGAATATTATTTGTTAGAACCATTTTCCCCTGAGATCTGTTTTTATTTAAATATTAATAACTCCGGACTGAATGGACAGAATCCAACTAACGGGGGCTCGTTTAAAAGAGCGTTTCTTACTCTATATTATACCATATAAACAATAATAGTAAGCTTTTGAACGTAGACGCTAGGGGGCGCTGTCTTACAATTTAACAAACATTGAGCGTTTTTTCAAAAAAATTAAATGCGATGGTATATGTAATTTTAGCTGACAGTAAAGAGTAACGAAAGCTTAAAAAGTCAGTGAAAACCGCATCTTGATATCTTCTTTCAAACCGAAGATATTAGTAAAATTATATTAAATAGGAAAATATAAGCAGTGTACCATATACACATAAATATATGCGTCATATTTTTATAATACGGTATCAGTAGTCCTAGATTTCAGTGGTAAAATCTAAAGATATTTATTTTTAAAAGAATCAAAACTAAAACATTTCACGACAGTTTGGCAAAGTTCATTAGCATTTAAAAATTCTAAGATTTTTCCAAAACATACTATATTTTTAGGTCACCCTGTAGATGGTTTGTAATGAGTCAACCACTTTCTTTCATTAAAATTTAAAATTGTTCTGTTTATACATTATTACGGTATATAAAAATCATTTTTTCGTCCTTTGGATTAAAAGTGTTGAGAAGAAAACCTCATGTCCAACCGCTCCCATAAGCTCGTTCCACTGTGCGCCCGCCGCACAGTGCTTCGTCCCATGGACAAAAATCAAAAAATAAGTTAAAATTTACTAATATCTGAATATATAATTTTATACTTATAGCAATGTATAACCATCCTGTATATTATTTTTCATAAACAGCGTTTTTGTTAGCAAATATTTTCACTAAAAATAAATTTTGCGATCATTATCTCATCAGTGAAAAGAATAACATTCATAGTAGTTCTGTATATTATGAAGTTAAACGGGTATGTACTTAATTGAAAGCCACTATGGATATTGTTAAACAAGGTATGTACTTTAAATTTATTTCTAAACAAGTTCGTGATTGTTTAGTTCTTATTTATTTTTTAAGATGATTCTTAAATGGGTATAAAAATTTTACGTTTTCAAACTTCAAAAAGGCATTTAAAAAAAACATATCAAAACATATCGTATTTATTGAATATTTTTGTTCCCATATTCATACACTTTTAATTTTTGTATAGTTCACCTGCGTCTGCTTGCGACGAACTTTATTTTATAATACTTTTCAGATGGAGTAAAATTGATAAGCAATGCCGATCTGGCTAATACTTGGCTTGATCATAAAGACAAGAACTCAAAATTATTTGTATTTCAAAAAATATGTTCTTATTAGATATTGATGAACCTTCCAGTCAAATGAGACACCACTGGTGCCTGAAAAAGTCCACTATGTTGGAGCGAAACGTCGCATAAAAAAAGTGTCCATCTTTCAATTTATTATATAATCTCATACCCAAGAAAAGGAAAAAATAATATATGGATATGCTGTATTAAAGAGGTAACTATTAACATCCGAACCCCTCATAGCGACAAAATGAACAGTAACAACGCGAAAAAGTAACATATTAGAAAATGATGTACAGAAATATCTTATATGTGAGGATACTTCATCTACCTGATTTGGATACTATAAATTTGGAAGATTCTGTCAGCAGTAATTCTTCTGAATCAAAGTAGTTACGATCTATGCATTTTGTTGTCCTAAAGTAAATTTATAGTATCTTAAGTTTTTTTTTTAATTAAATATAACATTAATGTTTCTTTTTCATTAAACAAAAACATTTTTATCTTATCTTACGTATTAGGCTTATATTGTAGGAATCATGTTCTAATGTTATTTCAATTCTTTTTTATCACAGGAATTTATTTAATACTTACACCGTTTTCATACTATAAATTATTATTTGCTTAGATGGAACACAGCTCCAATATTTTTATTATTTATAAGATTTTTTTTCATAAACGTGGGACTAAGAACATCATCATTTAGTACAATGAGAGTACTCATCATTTGTGTCAAATAAACCTAGTTTGAATAAATTGCTTACAATAAAAGAGAAGTTTTGGATTTTTGTCCTCTAGAGCCATATGTTCGAAGCACTGTGCGCTGGCTGGCGAAAATGACGGCGCGTCGCCGACAAAATTTCACTTCGGGTGGAGGGTTTTAACAACAGGGAACATGTTTTCTTCCTTTTTCTACACAAAATCGGTTATACGAACTTTAACATTCTCTAAATATTTAAATATTAATAATTTAAATATTTTATTGATATTGGGTAATTTAAATATTTTATTGATGTGTCTATTATTTTGTTATAATTCGTTTTAAAGTAATGAATAATATCTTCGTAATTCTTCACTTATAGTAAAAAGATTTACAATTTTTTATATACATATTTTTTTGGCTAGGTGTATTTTTGGGTCATAATAAAAAGGATTTTAAGTTAATAATTTACATAATGGGGAATTCCATAGGTCTGTTCGGTTATTTGAAAGTTTTATGGATTCGTTTTATTACGTTTATAAATTTTTATAGACCTTAACCTATTGATGCTCTGTTAAGGATTTTAAAATTATTTTAAGGGAAAATATGACCAGAGTAGAAGTAATTTATATTTTAAATTGGCTCTATTTTTGTTTTGTGTAGATGACTGATGTTTTGTGAATTTGGTATATTTTTTCCAGTTTGTGTAAATTACAAAGAGAATTAATGTAATAAAAGTAAAAACAATAGGAAAATAAAAAATCATAAACATAACAAAACAAAACGATAAAACATTTAAATGGTCAAATAGACGGACGGAATTCATATGCCTCAAATGTAATGAGTAATGGCCTCAAAAATACGAATGTCATCGTTCTCGTTAACCGTCACAATATTATAAATATCCATAATTAATTCAGTTTGCTTGGTGCTTCTTTCAACTAGAGAAATAAACCAGACTAAACTGGCGGGCCGTCCGGAGATGGTAAGGACATGCTCCAGTCGCCGGCCGAAAATCACCGGATGGGGTTTAAACTGCGCAAGTGTTCTTCGCCTGGAGATCGACTATGAAACGGAAAAAAAATGCATATCCAACCGCCCCACGGTGGAAAGACACAATATAAAATGTTGGACATTGACTTAAAAATAAAATTTTAAATTAAATAATTTTGGTAGAAGATTTTAATTACTTAAAGTCCAGACCGTTATATTTTATCCAACTCAAAAAAATATTTTTAATTATATGTCTGTTTGAAAAGTTTCAATTGAAGATATTACACTGACTTAATTATGGTATTCATTTCTTGTGAAACAACCTAGTTTTATAAAAAGTTGCAAAGACATTAATAATTTTTTTAACCATACATATATTAGTGCAAACGATTGTTTTCACTTTAAAATAAAAGATATATATTGTCACAAAAGTTTGGGAGAACAATTATTGTATATAAGAGACACATAAACATTTTTTTTTGCTACTAAATACTAGATTTAGTAGCAAAAAAATGTATGTATGTAGAAAAAAAAAAAAATGGCCAAGTTGGCCAATACTTTATATATGTCACAAGGTAGATTAAGCCTTTCTAATAACGAAACTAATTTAATATCTTGCCCCAGCTTGCCCCCCTCTAAAAATTTCCATTTAATATATTACTAATACATGCTATACTAAAATCAAAAACCTTTTCAATTCCAATAAATCAAATTATCTTTATCAAGAGTCAAATTATCTTTATTTTCTTATAAATTTATTAATATTTAATTATTAATTGGATAAATACAAAATGACGCTTAAATCAAAAACAGATACAGGGTGCTACAAATATATGGAAAACTTATAAACTATTGGAAAAAGAAAAAGGGTTAAAGTGCAGCGTTGAGCTTTTTTGTTTGTGTTAAAAATATTCTAGTGCGTAGATTTACTGTTATATTCTTTGCTTATAATAAAGTTAGTGTACAGGGTGTCCCACTAAGAATAGCTCTCGGCTATATCTCGGAAAGTATTAGCCGTGAGGCCTGCGGAAAAAAATATTCATAACTAAAGAGGCTATGAGAAATTGCTGGAAATTATTTTCAAGTTTGTAGAATGGCCGCTAGAGGGTGAACTGCTATAGAAAAATAAGAAAATGGAGTTTTTACACAATTTTGCCTAGATAAGTGGTACTATAAAGAATAGCTTCATAATCTTCAGTAAATTCTGAATATTATTTGTTAGAACCATTTTCCCCTACCTGCCAAAATAAAGTGGTGGGGGAAGGTTAGATCTGTTTTTATTTAAATATTAATAACTCCGGACTGAATGGACAGAATCCAACTAATGGGGGCTCGTTTAAAAGAGCGTTTCTTACTCTATATTATACCATATAAACAAATAGTAAGCTTTTGAACGTAGACGCTAGGGGGCGCTATCTTACAATTTAACAAACATTGCGCGTTTTTTCAAAAAAATTAAATGCGATGGTATATGTAATTTTAGCTGACAGTAAAGAGTAATGAAAGCTTAAAAAGTCAGTGAAAACCGCATCTTGATATCTTTCAAACCGAAGATATTAGCAAAATTATATTAAATAGGAAAATATAAGCAGTGTACCATATACACATAAATATATGCGTCATATTTTTATAATACGGTATCAGTAATCCTAGATTTCAGTGGTAAAATCTAAAGATATTTCTTTTTAAAAGAATCCAAACTAAAACATTTCACGACAGTTTGGCAAAGTTTATTAGCATTTAAAAATTCTAAGATTTTTCCAAAACATACTATATTTTTAGGTCACCCTGTAGATGGTTTGTAATGAGTCAACCACTTTCTTTCATTAAAATTTAAAATTGTTCTGTTTATACATTATTACGGTATATAAAAATCATTTTTTCGTCCTTTGGATTAAAAGTGTTGAGAAGAAAACCTCATGTCCAACCGCTCCCATAAGCTCGTTCCACTGTGCGCCCGCCGGCGAGAGAGCGGTTACTCTATATGACGGATGTGCGCACGCGTTACTCGGAGAGCGCTCGACTCTGAAATAAGAACGAAGAATTTCGGGAAAGCTCCCGCCAGCGGGCGGCTGGCGATTGACTATGAATACGGCCGTAAGACTTCTTTGGTCTTGCAGTAGAATAAGTAGTTCTGGTCTTGGTCTAACTGCTAGAGCAGGTATATTTTAACGTCTATAGGATGGATTAAAAAAATGTGAGTGGATAGGGATGATTTTTTTTTTAAATGGAACACCCTGTATATTATTGCATTTTTGGCTTTCTTTTTTTTACACAATCAATCACAAGTTATAAGTTAATATATTTCGATAATTTCACAGAGATATTAATAAATAAATAAAAAATACTTATTTTTTAACCTCATTACTTAAAAAATATTACAAATACAAAATGTCCTGAAATCAAAACTATGTTAGGTACTTACTTTAGATGGTCTATACTTAACTTTGCTATAAATATCGTAATCTTAAACCATACAGGGTGTTCAAAATTCTACTCTAAACTTTCTAAAATATAAAATAATTTTTCTTTGGTTTTTTAAATAGAACACATTGTATATGACTTTTTTATTAGATGAATAGTTAAAAAATTAATATTTTTTGTAATTTTTGCAACGGTGAACTACGCGAGAAAAATCATTTGGTGGCTTTGATAAAAATTTACTGTGGAATTTTATTTTCAAAATGAAATATATGAAATATAAAACAAAACCGCGAATATCTTCGAAACCATTAAAAATTCTGAAATATTTTAAAAAAAGGAAAAATCATTTTTTAATTCTCCATCTATTGAAAAAAATATATACTGAGCGTTCCATTTAAGAAAAACGAAGAAAAATTATTTTATATTTTAGAAAGTTTGGCGTAGAATTTTGAACATCCTGTATGGTTTAAGATTACGATATTTATAGCAAAGTAAGTATAGACCATCTAAAGTAAATAAATAATATAGTTTTGATTTTAGGACAGTTCTTGTATTTTTAATATTTTTTTTAGAAAGGCTCTGAAAAATATATATTTTTTATTTATTTATTAATATCTCAGAAACGATCAAAATATATTTACTCATATCTTAGGATTATATAAAGTGATCTGAAAGGAAGCCAAAAATGCAATAATATTCAGGGTGTTCCATTTAAAAAAATCGTCCCATCATCTTTTTTGAGCTACCCTATAGAAGTTAAAATATTTTCCTGAAATACATCCTTTTAGATACTTTAGGTTTGCACTTAAACAAAAATCCGACAAAAAAAGTTTTCTATTCTAGGAGCTACAGATGCCCGACGCACTATTGCCCGACCCTGTATTATTTGTTTTATTAAACTAAACAAACTTTTGGATCCGCCACTGAAATGTCTGCATTTCTGGTTAGAGATACTTGTTTCCCCACCTCTTTATAGCAGATTAAAACCATTTTTATATCTGCGGTACGCCCATTTATAATACAGTAGTACTTTGCTATCTATTAGTCTAACAACTGTTAATGTTAAATAAAATAATTAATCATATAAAATGGGCAAATTGTTTATAAAGTTAGTTTTATTCTTTATATTGCAAAATACAGTTTCTTGTTATGTGGAGTTTGTTGATTTAACTTGGGAGTTTAACAATGAAACTATTTATTGGCCTGGACAGCGACCATTTGAATATACACATGAAGTAGGTTCTACTGAAAGAGGATATTGGTAAGTGATACTATAATTAATATTAATACAACTAAGGAGTGAAAAGTAATTTTTAATTATCCAGATCATCAAAAAAAAACACCAGTTCACGACGATACACCATGCTAACATTAACATGCTAATTGTATTGTGGTGAACACCAATTAAGGTTCGAATACCTGTAATATCATGCAAGATCTCATCCAAGGAAAATAGAAATAAGCCAACTAACTGGATAAAATTAAATGATAATAATTAAATGATATACAGGGTGTTTCAAAACAAATGCGAAAAACTTCAGGGGGTGATTCCTTGTTCAAAATAAAGGGTAGTTTGCTTCATAAACGTTGCTTCGTAAACGTTTGCTTCGTAAACGTTAAACTTTAAAAACGTCAAAAGTCAACCATTAGGGAGATATCGCGGTACAAAGATGGCGGAAAAATAATGTTATTATTTTTTATCTTGAAAACTAAAAGAGATAGACTAATGAAATTTTATGGAAGCATTACTGTTATGAAAACACACTTTCTGGTAATTTTTTCACTTTTTTAAAATGAGTGGAAGGGGTTGAAATAAACTACCCCTATCATTCTTGTTAACGAAATTTAAAGAAAAATCTTATCAAACACATGCAAAAAAATTAATTTGGATAGTTTAGTTTGTTTAGAAACTTTTTATCTCTTGTATTTTTTTTATAAAACTCACCGATTTGAAATTAAAAAATAAAATGTAAAGCATTACATGTCAGGACTAAAAATATTTTTAGATTAAGAATCTAGTGATAATAATGATAATAATAATAATCTAGATAATAACGTATTGCAGTAGGGTAATGTCAAATAAAACAATATTAGAAACATCCTAAAAAGTGACAGCGGCCGACTAGATTTTTTCCTAAAAAAAATACAGCTGCCCACTAGATTCTTTATCTAAAAATATTTTTTGTCCTGACATGTAATGCTTTACATTTTATTTTTTAATTTCAAATCGGTGAGTTTTATCAAAAAGCACAAGAGATAAAAAAGTTTCTAAATAAACTAAACTATCAAAATTATTTTTTTTTGCATGTGTTTGATAAGATTTTTCTTTAAATTTCATTAACAAGAATGATAGGGGTAGTTTATTTCAACCCCTTCCACTCATTTTAAAAAAGTGAAAACATTACCAGAAAGTGTTTTCATAACAGTAATGCTTCCGTAAAATTTCATTAGTCTCTTTTCGTTTTCAAGATAAAAAATAAAAACATTATTTTTCCGCCATCTTTGTACCGCGATATCTCCCTAATGGTTGACTTTTGATCCAACGTTTATAAAGCAAACTACCCTTTATTTTGAACAAGGAATCACCCCCTGAAGTTTTTCGCATTTATTTTGAAACACCCTGTATATGAAAAAATTATGAGGCTCTTCGCCCCGGGCGCCCCTAACTCACGCTACGCCACTGTTCTTAAGCCCCATACCCACACTTCGCTCCTTCGTCCCTTCGCCGCGTTACTTCACTTCGTCACTTCACTGCGTTCCTTCGTCCATTCGATGCTTGGAAATTAGTCGATTATGCAACAAAACACACCACAAAATATTTTTAACATAGCAGCTACATGTTGATTACGAAAAATCTAGTAACCCCTAAATTTTTTAAAAAATCTGAAAGGCGCATAATTTTTATTTTATAAAATTGCAGTTCTTTATCGTGTCAAAAATAAAAATTGAATTTTAATAATATATTTCAGTATCATGTACAAGGTATATCAGTATGAATGTACAAGGCGAGTCAACAATAGAGTAAAGTTTATTATGTCATTTATATCGAAACTATGAAATATGACATACTAATTAAACGTTGATATCAATCTCCATTTCTTCAGATATTTTTGTAAAGGCATCATGCACACTATTTCTATTTTTTTATTTTTGTCGCTACGATTACATAAACATGGACAGGTATTTCTTCACAAATATGAAGACAATGTTGTCTTTTCCTTCCATTTTTAAGACTATTGTGTGTGAGATCTATTTTTATAACGACTGGCGATTGCTAGATGTACAGGGTGTCCCATTTTTGTGTGTTTTATGCGGTTTCTGGTTTATGAGTAGATATATAAAGATGCCGTTTTCACATCATTGTTCTACTTATTATGAAACTAAATATGCTACACACAGATTTATCCTAGCCTTCTTAGTTCAAATTTATTTCTTATTTCTTTCTTTTATACTTTTTATTTTTTATATAGTAGAAATTTTTCGATAACCTTTGTATCTCGATTATCTTATAACTTATCGAAAAGGTGAAAAAGGTTAGTGATGGGCGGTGGGTAAATACCCAATTTGTAGATAAATAAAATCTGGGTTTTCATTTTATAAAAGGAGTTTCCGATGACCGCATAGTAAATACCCGGTATAATACCGGGAATAGGAATAAACCAATACATATATATTAGGAATATTGTAGATATATTCCTGATATTACTGGTATATTTCTGGTACTATACCGGGTATTTAATATGCGGTCGTTGGAAATACTTTTTACAAAATCAGACTATTCATCTAAATTTACAGGTATATACCGGATACCCTGATTTTGTTTTGTTCTACCTATTGAGTACTTACCCACCGCCCGTGTCTCGTTCTCAAACTAGTTCTTCGTTGGGAGCTATCTATTTCGAAAAATAACTCAAAACTTATGTCCTTTTTTTAAACAGGACACTATATATTATTTTTTTATTTTATTTGCTTTGTTATGAGATGAGCTTTCTAAAAATATAATATACTCTATAGTTATTTATTTTGGTACTGCTAAACTGCTAAACGGCTCTTATTTTATTTAACTTAATTTTACCAAATAATTTTGCTTTGCATCGTGATATTTTGATAAACTACACGGAAACTGAACTTGTGCTGCTTTTAAATAACATCATGCTCTCAATCAGAGTTATTATAACTATACATAAAAATTAGCGTGGAATAGCCAATAATGGCAATAACCAACATTTTACGTCGAATAAATTAGTTGATTGTTTTGATTACCTTTAATAAAGTTAAATAATGCATTTTTACCCCGTTTATGAACATAAGAATTTTAGAAAGCCCGTAACAAGGAAAATATGATACTATACAAAATATCGCATTTAAAAAAACGTATAAGTTTTAGTCATATTTAAAAAAGACAGCTTCCAATGAAGAACTAGTTACGTCACTGCATTCTACGTGAAAAACTGTACGGGTCACCGTTTTCAAACCTTTTCGATAAATTATAAGATAACCGAGATACAAAGGGGATCGAAAAATGCAATAATTTCAGATTCGCCCTGTATTTTAGGAGGTAAGAGAGATAAAACATATCTGTATGTAGCATCTTTAGTTTCATAAAAAAGTAACATCGTAATGTGAAAACCGCATCTTGGTATCTCGACTCATAAACGAGAAACCCTGCAGAACATACGAAAATGGGACACCCTGTAAAGACGTACTGCCAAATCAAGAAATCAACTACGAATGAAATCCAAGATCGATTTATAATTTTTTTTATATTTTTTTGTGTTCCTGATAATTCCTTTGCTACTACGTCCAAAAACCGACAGTACGGCGAAGGAGCGTTTTGACGAAGTAAACGGACGAAAGAGCGAAGGCACGAAGGAACACACAGTCGCATAAAATCGACAATTTCCCATAGTAAATATAGGATTTTTGGACGAAGGGAGGAAACGAAGGAACGAAGCGAAGTGTGAGTATGGGGGTTTACTAACAACTATTAAAATAAAAGATTTGAAGGATATGTTTGAAAAAGTGGAGTTTGAATTGTTAAAAAAGTAATAAATAAAAAGATATTTTTTATGTGAAAAGAAATCGTTTTTTACGTGTAACAAATAGTTTTTTACCTGTAACAAATAGTTTTATACGGGTAAAAAATAGTTTTCTGCGTGTAACAGTTAGTTCTGCGTTACAGTTTTTTACTTGTAACAAATAGTTTTACTTTACTACAAAATTTGTATTAAAATATCAATATTTTTGATAAACACGTGGACTACACACAAATACACGTCCGTGTCACTACGTATCTCTTTCCTTTGGTCCTTACCACTTTTTTGATCGTTACCACCGTTACCACCAGCTCGTGTGTCACGGCCTTGAATTTTTATTCCCAGCGCGTGTAGAGAAGTTTCACTTCAACATTTTTTAAAAAAAAAAAATTATAATTAAATTAGGTATTCGGTTAAAGAGTTCTGTGCTGCCGAACATGGAGGAACTCATTTCGATGCCCCATATCATTTCAACAAAAATGGATGGAAAGTATCCGAGGTTCCTGAATATAGACTGTTTTCTCACGGTAAGAAAATGCTTCACTCGTTACCTACGCGGATATAGTGGCCTGATATAACGATATGGGATGTCACAAAAGTAGATCCTCCCTATTGTATAGTCAAATTATTAAATTACCTATAAAAATAACGTAAAAATTTATGAGAATACTAATATTTATTGTTTGTTGTTGTAACAGAGATGAAAAACTAATAAACAAAATTAATAAAATTTGTTTATACACTGCTCAGATGCAAAAAAATGCAACGGAGAAATTTTTGGTCAAAATTTTTTTAAAGTGTTATATTTTTGTTATTTTTAGGACTATTTTTATTAATTTTTTAGCGAGCTGTGTATTATTATATCAACTTTAATTTGTAAACTCAGCTTTTTATTAACTTTAGTATTTGGCATATTATACAGAGTTAATCGAGGGGTTGTTTTTTTTACCCTAAATTTAAAATACCATGTGCAATAATTTTGTTTGTAAATTTTCCTAAAATATAATTTTATGGTCAGAACCATGAGTCCTGAGCATTTTGTTTTTTGATTTATATCAATAAATGCTTTGGATAATTTTTAAGAGCGGAATGAACTCGATAACGATCAATTTGCATTTTTTAAATTTAATATTACTTTTTGAAGTATTTTTTTAACATGGCGAGATAGTTTTGGTGACTATTGTCGTAACGTCATATTACACTGCATTGGATACTCTATACTAAATTAAAAAAAAAACGTTAAAGACTATATAATGATACAGTCCGAGTTTTAATAAACATTAATAACGATTTTAAATAAAATATTTGTAATACTCAAGTTCTTGAACTAACAGAAAAAAATGTAAAAAATACCCTAATACTTTGTATTGCCGCCCTTGGCTGCTATAACTACCTGTATACGTCCGTTCATATTGTTATTGAGGCTGCATCATAGGGCTGCATACTATGGCTGCATATCATATTGCGTTATGTTTCCCATCCTTCTTTAAGGACCAAGCGAAGTTCATCTTTAACCCTCCTGCCAAGCATTTGCCAAACGTCGAACATGATGGACAGTTCATAATAGTATAAAATAATGACAAAAGCCGCCTCGTCACATTCAAAAGTAACTTCAAAAAAGAAATGATAATTGAAAAAATTGCAAACTGTTGGTAGCAAGCTCATTTCGCTCTTAAAAATTAACCAAAGCATGTATTGACATGATCCAAAAACCAAAATGCTCAGGAGACAATATGGTTCTGACTGTTATATTTTAGGAAAATTTACACACAAAATTATTTCACAGGGTGTTTTAAAGTTATGGTAAAAAAATAACCCCTCGATTAACCCTGTATAATATGCCAAATATAAAAGTTTATAAAAAAACTGAGTTTACGAATAAAAGGTGATATAATTATATACAGCTTGTTAAAAAAGTGAGTTGAGTGTATATAATACAGCAAACTGTTAAGATTATATGAAATAATTATGTTATCTTGAAACAAAATGATTTTTAATAACAACTTGTTTTTCGAAATTATTTTCTAGGAGCTGCAATTGAACTAAACAAAACGGAACTGGCCGTGGAAGATTTAGAAAATTGGGAAAGAGAACATATTAAATTTAAAAAGGGAACGATACTGATAATAAATACAAGAATGGGTCAATACTGGAACACAAATAGGACAAAGTACCTTGGTTTGGATTCTGAAAATAACATGAACTTTCCAGGTAATCGTGGTTATATGTTATATGCCACACAAATAGTTCTAATCATCGGGAAAATCGATTTTACTGACCAGCATAATTTACTGACCAGCTTATATACGTTACTACCAGGGTTGGCATGATTTAAATCATGATTTAAATCGTGATTTAAATCAAGTGATTTTTTTAATTTTAATCATGCGATTTAAATAAAAAAAAATTATTGAAACTTCAAAAGATAACTGTAAAAGTTGCAAAAATGTGTCTTAGACAACTATAAAACATATTTCTATAACGGGTATAACAGATAATAAATCGAAAAATAATTGTAAATGTTATAAAACTATAGAAAAATATCTATTCGTCAATTTAATTCTTTGACCGATTTTTGAAGTAATTTCGTGTGAATCCATTAGACCGCTAAACACAGGGATTTATTTTAAAATTTATGTATAAGTGACAAAAATTCGCTGTTCGAATACATATCATTCGCATATTCGCAAAGTCTATTGCAGAACTAGGTTCTTCTAATATAGAGACTATATCTTCATTCCCGAGAATCTATAATCGTTGTCAGAAAATATGTTGTTTTATATTTTTTTTTCGAAACGGCTATATGTTTACAAATTCCTACCGACATTTTGATCTGCAGTAAGTATTTTACACTTCGACATTATATTTATAATACATACTAATTTCTTCTCTACTTAGGAATATTTCGGAACAATAGTGTATTGTTTTATTAGGAGTAAAAATTACACTTTTTTGATGATACGCTGTACCTTTGAGGCACAAAAAATACATTTTTACTCGGAATAGAACATACTATTTTTTATAAACATTACAAATAATTTTTTAATCAATTTCAAACATTACAAATAATATAAACAGTAATCGAGCAACAATTTCTACACTCGTTGAATTTTACACTTAATATCAATTTAATAATATATTTTTGTACTTTTATGCCTAGGCGTTAAAATGACCAAAATTAATACTTTTCAGACGTTTGAAAAAAAATCCTTTTCATCTAAAGCGAACGACTTGTTTTGCGGAATATATTGGTTAGGTTACGACCGATGTGGAAAAATCACAACGCCCCATAGAATTGTTAATGTTATCGGTATCGGGGTTTAGATTTAGCCATTTACGATAGGACTTTAATTGGAAATATGTCGTACTCATTTGTAAATCCGATTTAAATATTATTTTGAATTAAAATCAAAAAAATCTAATTTAAATAAAAAAAATCTGATTTTTTTAATTTTTTAAAAAAAATCATGATTTTTTCCAACCCTGGTTACTACTATCTAAATACTTACAACTCCCACCTTAATTTTGCTACTACCACCCAAAAATAGACTACTACCACCTTAATTTTGCTACTACCATCCACAAATAAACTACTACCTCTTTAATTTTGCTACTACCACCAAGAAATAAACTACTACCACTTTAATTTTGCTACTACCACCCAAGCAGCATTTGGACGTCTGGACAACGTTGTGTCACGCGACCAAACGTCGGGGCGCAACGTCGTCACAACCTCTTGCCAACCCTAGTCTGTACTAGTTTGGAGAATAATTTTTGGGTCGAAACGACGTTGAATACCGACGTTGGCTAGAAGCCTAATTTAGTACAAACTGCAACGTTGTTTAAAATCCTAATTCACAGAAATACAAAACTAATATGGCGTCTAAGTCGCGTTTTATCCTAAATTGGGATAATTATAGTAAAAATATTATTTTTATGATTTAGTTAGAGACATATGTCAGATGGCAGTGAAGGAAAACAAAACAAAGTTTTTAAGTGTGGAGGAGTTTGAAGATCATAATTATTGAAACACTTTAACCGACTCTGTAACTCGTTACCCAAGGCAAAAAAGTTAAACGCAAACAACTTTATTGATAATTGTATTGTTTCTACTTTGAAAATACTAATGGGCCTTAAAATTAAAGAAGTTTTAAAAATGTTCTTCATTTTTTTTTTTAGTAAAATGAGAATAATTTATTCGCAGTCGAAAAAATTGTTTCCGCGTGTTTTTTAGGGTCAAATATTTCAAGTTTTCAAAAAGCAGGAATTGCTATTTATTTTCCTTATTTAACAACATGGCGGCTTTCACTTTGTTCTTTTGGAGATTAAGATGGAATAGTTCGAGTAGTCGCATACTGGACTAATAAAGTCGCAGTTCGGCCTTAACAGGTAGTATACTAGTCGCAAGATTGCCTAATTTAGTCATCCTAGAGTCTAGCTTGTGCCGCCCTCTATAATCTAAATCAGTAGTTCCCAAACTTATTTTTCTCGTGGACCACTTTCAAAATTTTACTGGTTTCGGTGGACCCCCTGCTGCTACATTTCTACCACATTCTTAAAGTCGCCAAAAAATAAAAATTGTGTCACTTCTGAGTTCTGTCCCTATATTCCGATATGTAAAATAAAAACGAAAAATGGTACATTTTATATCACTTTATTTATTAAAAGAATAGAATTACAAGAAAAAATATTAAGGTAATATAGGTTCAGGTCATAATTTTAATTAATGGGAAGGATGTATCTGATGGAGTGTCAGCAAACGATCAATGTTTGGCTTTATTTTTGTGAGCAATAACCGCAAATCCCCCCGCTCTGTGATGTTTAATTTGCTCCTTTTTTTGTTAAGAGGTTTGTAACGCACTAAAACTCCTTTCGACAAGGTATGACGAGGGAAAAGCTATTAAAAATTTCCTTGCGATTTCCCACAGTCCAGGATATTTTTCGGGTATTTCTGCTTGCAGCCAAAATGTTGGGTAGCCTTTTCTAAATTTCACCTTCAGCTCCTCATTAGTGCTTAGCTCGAGCAGCTCCTCTTGTAATACAACATTGGCCACTTCCGTTTCATCAAATGGATTTATGATCCATGGTGGTATATCCATCGTCAGTATATCTTCAAACCTGGTTTTGAAGTCATCATGCAGAGCACTTAAATGTTGACTGTAGGTATGGATATCCTCATCAATACATTCTACCTGCGACAAGTTTGGAAATTGAGAGAATTCGCGCCGACTAATGTTTTGCTTCATAAATTTCAATTTCCCAAGAAAAGCCGAAATTATCCCCTTTGTTTTTATTAAATTCAGGCTGTCCCCTTGTAACTGCAAGTTAATATCATTAAATTTTTTAAACAAATCTGTCAAATACGCAATGTCTGCTTTGAATTTGATCAAGTTTTCTTTTAAATCTGGATCTCTACTTTCTAAGAACTCTAATATGGAATCGAAAACAGAGTAAAATCTCGTTAAGCATGCACCTTTCGACAACCAGCGTACTTCAGTATGTAAGAGCAGTCGTTGGAAGTCTTCATCATTTTCGTCGCACAATTGAGCAAATAAACGCGTATTCAATGCATTGCTTCTGATTTTGTTGACAGCTTTTATTACAAAATGAAGAGATTGGTTCAACCTGTCACTTAAATGTTTTGCCACAAGATGTTGTCGGTGGATTACGCAATGAATAGCTGTAAGTCCTGGTATAATTCTTTTGAGATGACTTATAAACCCACGATATCGCCCGACCATTGCAGGAGCTCCGTCTGTTGCCACTGAAATAATGTTTGTAAATGGGATCGATTTTTCCGTAAAAAAATTACTCAGGACATTAAATATTGATTCGCCTTTAGTGTCAGTCTCCAAAGTTCTGGCAAATAGCAATTCTTCGTGAATTTCTTCCTCAACAATAAATCGGACATATGCCAATAGTAATGCTTCATTACTGGGTAACGTTGACTCGTCCAGTTGTATAGAAAAATGAGTTTTTTGCAGATGATTGCACAAAAAGCTTTCGATATCAGAGCTCATTTCATCAATGCGTCTTTGTACAGTATTGTTACTTAATGGAATTCTTTTTAGTACGTCAAATGGAGATTTGTGCAAAACAGTTTTTAAAACCTCTTCAACAGCGGGTAAAATTAATTGTTCTCCGATAGTGTGCGGTTTTCCAGATTTTGCTATAAGTAATGAGATATTGTAAGATGCCCGCAAGCCATCATCGTTACTTTGAGATGTTGAAGCGAACATACTGTGCATGGTGGGTCTCTTTCCATATTTTTCTTTCAATGTTTGAAAATATTTTAAATCTTTACCTATTTTATCAGTATGACACCTTTTTAGATGATCTTCGAGCTTTGATGGTTTCATAGAGTCATTGCTCAAAACTTTGTTGCATAATAGGCACATGGGCAATTGTTTGTCTGCCTCTGATGGAACAAAACCATATTTCAAATAATCGATACTATATTGTCGACATTTTTTCTTTGCTGTAGCCATGTTTCGTGTCAGTTACCTTACCTGTAAAAAAAAATGTTTTAGTAACCAAGTTTTTTCTGAATATAGGTATCACACCGCAGCCTTTGTCAGCACGCGGAAATAGAATTACGGCTTGTAAAGGGACCAACTAATAAACCGCTGAGACAAATACAGACGTTTTCACAAAACGGTATCAATTTTAAAGTACATAATTTACCACTAATTTTTAATAGTATAAATAAAAATTGGTGTACTCAGTATCGAATACTGATCATATTTGTGTAGGAAAAAATAAAAGTCGAAATCCCAAAATTGTCCATAAAAACGATAACTAACATTTTATTAAATCAATGAGTTCACGCGCTCCGTGTATTTGCGTATTTTTTGTCTGCGGCTTCATTGTTAAAACGTGACAAACTGGCATCGAAGTCCAAGCCCCGCCCTTTTCCCGTCGCCCGCGCACCGCTCGCTCTTTCCGAAATGGAATAGTTTTGATAAAATAGTTACTTCAAAACCAATTTAAAATGATTATGAAATTACTGTTTTATAAAATTAGTAGTTATTTGCAAGAAAAATTACAAAATTAATTGCTCTGCAATATTGCTTATTCGGCCTTTTTAGAGAGGCAGTGTTTCTCTCGTGAAAAACAATTGAATAAAACGTGCTGTGTTTGTCTTCAAATCGAAAGAGGACAATTAAAATATCTGTAAGTTACTAAGTTACCTATCTATACAGGCCGTTGTG